GCCGTTGCTTTTCACACCTGATGACGACCGTTTGTGTTATGGTCGAAACGTCGTGAGAATTTTTATTGTTTTATATATATTTTATTATTTTATTGTTTCCCTTCAACGTGACTTTACCGAAAGAGCTAAGAATAGGAGCAAGTCTTGTTTTTATTCCACCCCCGCATCACCTCTGTTCGCCTAGAATCATAAATGGGTACACCAGTCAGTCGATAGGCAGGTTCGCGTGGGGCGAGGTAAAATGCGAGGTGGAAGAGTAGGCCATAACACCCTCGAGTGGGGCCCACCAGAGGGCCTTCTGCCAGCAGTGGAATAAGAGAGCAACTGCAGGGCCGCAGCTGTGCGTTTTTTTACCGTTTATAAATAGACTAGCTTTACTACCCGGCTTCACCCGGGACTTGGATTCACCACGCCCGGCCGCCTTTGTCACCCCAATGGCGATGTTCACACACCACACCAGTTACGCGTTTGAGGTTGAGGCTGAGTCGACCTAGGGGAGGCCCAGGACCAGTTCAAATATTCGTCACCGGTGGTGACCGTGAGCGGGAATCGAACTCGGGTCGCCGGGTTCGTAGCGCAGCGCGCTAACCGCTACGCTACAATGCGTTACGCTTCCACATGCGAGGGTCACATGACAGATTTGACGTCACAGCTCACTTGCCGTGCAAAAAAAATGCATTGAGCCCCCCCCCTCCCAAAAAAAAAGTGTATTTTTATCATTTTTGCATGGTGTACAGTCTGGAAAGTACCCGCATGGCAAATTTCAAGTTTGTTGCATGTCGGGAAGTACGCTAAACATTTTGAACAGACACACAATCACAACTTTGCCTTTTATATATATGGAGATATACAGCATTGCACACATACGTAACACGTGCGTTTAAGATAGCATGCCCTCTCATTTGTACAGTACTTTTGTTAATCCACTGCTAGGTGATGGGTGTCCTCACGTTGTAATGGTCATGGGGACCGTTTTACCAATCTCGGTTAGTTGGGATTTGTCAAATTTCTCCATCTCTTGTCGATATCTGCTCAATCCAATCACTGGGCTGGTACCACCACTTGAGAGGGATGTACTATCAAGAAGGGCCATTGCTCAGAATGTCAACTGTTTCATTTGTTTTTTACATCTAGGCTTTTAAGGCAGTTAAGGTTTTTTTTACGTTTCTGGAGAGCAGGGGTCTGTCTACATGTCACGGTGGTACAGGACGCCATGGGCCAGTCCCCACCACTACGGAGGACAGGTCTCTGAGTGTGCGTGTGGCAGTTCACTACGGAGGACTGGTCTCTAAGTGCAAGTGTGGCGGTTCACTATGGAGGACGCGTCTCTGAGTGAGTGTGGCGGTTGAATATGGAGGACGAGTCTCCAAGTGCAAGTGTGGCGGTTCACTATGGAGGACGGGTCTCTGAGTGAGTGTGGTGGCTCACTATGGAGGACGCGTCTCTGAGTGAGTGTGGCGGTTGAATATGGAGGACGAGTCTCTAAGTGCGAGTGTGGCGGTTCACTACAGAGGACGGGTCTCTAAGTGTGAGTGTGGCAGTTCACTACGGAGGACAGGTCTCTGACTGCATGTGGCGGTTCAGTCTGGCAAAACAACCCCCTACCTCCTCGTTGGTGCTGGACGGCCACGCTGTGGTTAGCAGTGCCGTGGGGGGAGGGCCAATATAGATTGGCCATTCCCCTCATGGCGTTTGTAGCCACCACAGCAGCCAAATGGTGGCTCTGGATGGGTGCGAGGGGTTGACAACCTCTCCATCTTCAAATAAATTACAATACCACGGAAGACAAATCTAATTAAGCTTGTTGCAGGAGGCCCCGGGGGGACAGGCGTCCGTGACGTCTCCTGGCCAAACCCCATTTGGCGGAGCCAGGAGGTTGAATCCTTACCTTCGGGATTCCTCCAGAAACAACAAAAAAACACTGTAGGTGGCTACGTGGAATGTACCAATGCTCATGAACCAGAGGCGAGGAGTAGCGGTCGTGGTTACTTATGCCCCACAGAAGACAAACATCCGTGGAGGGATGCAGGCAAAGCCGATGAGTTTGATGCCTTCTATGACCTCCTGTCACAGATGCGAGCTAAAGTGGCCCCTCGGCATAGAGTCATCCTGCTGGGTGACTTTAAAGCCCGAGTTGGTCATGATGCTGGCACTTGGTCTGGAGCGATTGGAAGGCATGGGCCAGATCATCTCAATAACAATGGTAGGAGCCTGCGAGATTTTTGTGCAGCCAATGGGCTTGTAATTACCAACAAACTATTCCAGCATCGGCACATCCACACAACATCATGGATGCATGCCGGGTCCAAGCAAGAACATCTGCTTGACTACTTGGTGATGGAACATCGGATGCGGGCCCATGTCCTTGACACCAGGACCTACCGTGGAGCTGATCTGTCCACTGACCATCGATTTGTCATCTGTAAGATGCGCCTGCCATTCTTCCACTCCGGTGCTGGGTGTACACCCAGAACCCCATTAAACCAATAGTGGCCTGGTCTCAGCTAGGTAATGAAAATTGCAAGTGAGAATTTCATCATCACTTGCAGGTGGGGTTGGCATCGTCCCCCACTCTCCTGATGTCGAGGGGAAATGGGCGAGGAATAGGACTGTGGCTCATGCAGCTGCAATGGCTGCAATGGGTACATGGTCCAGACCTCCCCAGAGAGCCTGGCTGACAGGGGTGTTCAGGCTGGCTGAGAATAAGCGACAGGCCCACTCTCAACGTCTACAGCATCCCACGTCAGAGAATGAGGAGGCTTACCAAAACCGTCGCTCGGAGGTTCAGAGAGCCATAAGGCACTGCAAGGATGGGTGGTGGTCACGGGTTGCTGAGATGGAATCTGCCCCAGTGACTCGCGACAAATCGCTCTTTAATTCCATCAAAAAAGTAACTTGCAGCGCCACACATTACCATCATTAGGGGAAAGAACAGTGATCCAATCTCCAATCCCCAGGAACACGTTTGAAGATTTGCTGAGCAATTCTGTGAGGTCCTGGGGAAGGGAAATCCCTCTGCCTGGAAAACATCGTGGGGCAAAGTGGGGATGACCCTGGCTGGGGCTGCGGTGCCTAAAATATTGGAGGAAGAAGTCACCCCCTGTGAGTGGCTGGCTGAGGTGTCATCTGTTGAGGAAGTACTGAAGGCGATCCAGAGTCTGAAACCAGGAAAGGCACCGGGCAGAGATGATCTCCCAAGCGAAATGCTGAGGGAGGGTGGCGTTTGTGCACAGACTGCCCTACATGCCATCATAACAACAGTCTGGACCACTGGACAGGTTCCGCAGGATTGGAAGGATGCCCTGGTGGTCCTTCTCTTTAAGAAGGGGACCCGCACAGACTGTAACAACTACAGGGGCATCTCACCGCTAGTGTGCCGGGAAAGGTCCAAGCAAGGACTATTCAAGATCGCCTTGCCAGGCACGCTGAGGAGAGGCTTGCGGAGCCCCAATGTGGTTTCAGGAAACGGCGGTCCTGCACAGATGCCATATTTTCTTTCCGTCTGCTACAGCAGAGATGTATGGAATTCCAACAAGACCTACATCTCTGCCTTATTGACCTGGTCAAGGCCTATGACACCATCAGTAGGCCGGGCTCTGGGTTGTGCTTTTAGAGTCCCTGACTCTCTGCTCACATCATTAAGGACCTTCATGATGGTGAGTGGGCCCGGGTAAAACTAAGTGGCCGGGAGTCAGAGCCATTCCCTGTTCACCTTGGGGTGCGACAAGAATGTCCTCTGGCTCCCACATTTTTTAACATCTATTTTGACCACGTAGTTCGTGAAGCCTTCAATGGCTGTACTGGAGGAATTTCCAATATAGTACAGATACAATGAGAGGCTGATCCAAGCCCGGGTGCGGTCAAGGGATGCCTCTCTATTGGTCAACCATGTTATGTATGGTGATGATCTGGTAATTGCTGCTCACTCAGACGAGGAGTTGGAGGCGCTGCTGCTGAACCTAGAGTGTGCCGCTAAGAGATGGGGCCTTACCATCAGCCCCACCAAAACTAGGCACCTGCATGGGTATTTTGTACCATCAGACACTCCACCCCCACAACTCCCAATTGGTGATGGGGCAGTTGTGGAGAGAGTGGATAGTTTCCCATACCTGGGCAGTCTACTCATGACCGGTTCCAATTTGACAGCAGAGTTCTCACTCCGAATCAGTCGAGTGGCATTATCATTTAATCGGTTGCGTAACGCTGTGTGGAAGCGAGCTGGTCTGTCGCCCCACACGAAGCTTCGGGTCTTCTCGGTCAGTCATGCCCTCCCTTCTCTACGCTTGCGAAACATTTAGGCTGGCCTGCCTACGATCCATCCTGGGTTTAACCAGGCTGGATTGTGTGAGGACAAAGTCCCATCGGTGAGCTCCTCCGGCAGGCGAGGCTGCGATGGTTGGGTCAAGTAGCCCGCATGCTCAGTCACCGCATGCCTAATGAGCTTTTGTTCGGCCGGATAGAGGGGGCTAAACGGGCGCGGCACGGGCTGGAGAAGAGATGGAGTGATGTGGTAAAGGAGGATGTGGAGCTGAGTGGACTTGCCGATGACTGGTACCAGCGGTGTCAAGATCGGCCTCTGTGGAGGAGGCTCGTGAAGGATGTTACTGGGCAGTTGGAGGCAGTCGCCATCCAACAACAACGGAGGGCGGAGGAGCGACGCTCACAACAACGAGCAGAGCGCCGGGTAGCTAAAGCACAGCAAGTTGGCATAGTAGGGGGCACAGGAGGTGCATCAGCCAGTCATCTTAGTCGTCTCAGTCAGTCGACCTGTGTCATCTGGGTCTGCCCCTTGACCTCCTGCCAGTGGGCATTCGACACTTCACGTGGCCTCAACGTACACAAAGCCTGGCACAAGTGCCGTGGTGACATCACCGCCACTTAGTGGCAAATGGCGGTTGTTGTGGCGGTTCACCATGGAGGACGGGTCTCCGAGTGTGCATGTGGCGGTTCACTACGGAGGATGGTTCTCTTGAGTGCGTGTGTCGCGGCTCGTGCCGTACCTGCTCCACCGTGGTCAGGTGCCGCCGTTTCTCGTCGGCCGCCGCTCGCCGCTTCTCGTCGCGCTCCCTCTGCTGCTCGACGCGCCGCCTACGCTCGTCCCTCTGCTGCTCCTGGTGCAGGCGAGCACGCTCCTCCCGCTCTTGCCACGCTCGCTCCCGGGCGGCTGCACAGTGCGAGCACAACGGCACGGGGCCAGCGGTATGAATGTCGTCGTTGTGTTTGTTTATCCGCCAACGCTTCGCTGAGTCCCGCGAGTCCTTTCCAGGAGGCACCTGCTATGTTGTCGTGGTGGCGGGGTGACAATACTCACATGGACTCCAATTTAATAATTTTGCGCGTAATGTTTTGAAATGTAATCAAATTCGGACCGCGATGCCGGTGGCCCACATTTGGTCTAACTCTTGCGAACGGCGTCACGGGATCGTTAACGTCCACTGTAGAGGGGGCGAGTATCTTCGTGGTTGAAACGCACACTGCAGTATCAATCACGGTGGCCGCTGGGTTTCGAACTGCGAACCTCTGCCAGGCCACGTGAGTGGCGGCCTTCGCCAGGGATCGATTCCAGTCGGGTCCGCGTGGGGTCAGTGACATAGAGATCATCCCCCCCCTGCCCCGACTGGCAGACCAATGCCCGCTAGCAGGCCAGGTGCTGAGTCATCCTTGTGCCACGCAGCGACAGCTGCCACTGGGGGGTGCACTTTCATATGTTTGAGACAAGAAGCGATGCAAGTTGCCGGTCGCTAGTAAAGCAATCAGCAAAAAAAAACCATGATCAGCAAAGCACACCTTCTAGCTATGGCTGTGGCCACGACTAGTTAAGTGCCACCTACTTCCAGGTTACCAGCTACCGGGAAAGTAGTCAGTGAAAATTAACTCTATCGCTGTTTCATCCTCGTTAGCAATCATCGTGCTCTCTGCATGCGCAGGATAGATCCAGTGGTTAGGATTGTGGCCACTTCCGCTTATAATTCGCCGATTGCGTGGATCATCGTCCTCGAGTAGCCGCGGCAACGACTGCAGTGGTATGGCAGTCGCGTCAGTACGAATGTCATCGTTGGCATCGTAATCATCCCATTGCAGCAACAGCAGCATGCCAGCAGATGTCAACATCTTAATCAGCAGCAGCAATAATGGCGAAAAGGCAGCACTGTTAGCAGTAGCCGGATTATTAGTAGGTGTTAGCAGTAGTGTCATATGAATCATTTGGCGGGACCCCGGGGTCCCGCAAAAATCAGGTCAATAATTATTATTTTTCAGTCCGCCCACTCGTGATCCCGACAGCAACGCGCCGCCCGCCCAGACTCGCGCCAACAAGCGCCAGCAGCAGCAGCAGCAGCAGCAGGCGGCGATCAACACGATGGGCGCCACCCCATCGGCCAAACGCAAGCCCCGGGGGGCGTCCGCTGCAGTCGCGCGCAGCGACGACGCCCTCCGGTCAGCCGTCGATCCTCAGCTTCTTTGCCAAGGCGAGCCCGCCCCCGCAGTGAATTTAACGTGTTTATGTAATTTTTCAACTTTTTACGAAACTTAGTGCCCCGAGTAGCTCTCGACGAGTACAATCGATTGACCACTAGTTTTGTTGTCGGTAAGGCAAAAACTCGTGTCGCTACGCGGTTTTTCCAACCCCGGGGTCCCGCCAATTGCTTCATATGATGAAAGAATATAAATGGGAACTGCAGCATTATTATTTCACTTGTTTGCCCAGGAGAGCCCCACTGAGTCTCAAGACTTTTTCAGGATCCTTCCCTTGTATTCACCACAGCAGGCAAATGTTGCGATGCTTCATCTCAATTTAATAATTTGCGTGTGCATTTTTTTTTTTTTAGCATTGGGATGTTTGGCCCATACCAGTTACACTGTATGTTTTTGGTATGACAGCCAATATCAACAATACCAATATCACCATCATCATTATCATCAGTAGCATAAGCAGTACTGTATCAGTAGCAACAGAGTACTGTAGTAACATTAATAACAGTGTTGTATTATTAGCATCAGTGCCATTATAATGAGCAGAAGTATTGGCAGTAGCGTTGTTCCTAGCAACAGGAAGGGCAGCAGCGATATTATCACTAAGGGTATTATCATCATCAACAGCAGCTTAATTAGCTGTAGCCGCAGTATCAGTAATAGCAACTGCAGTAATCCTCTTAGCAGTATTTGCACTGTAATTATTCTTCATCATTAACATAGTCATACTATTTTGCACTGGTAACATTTAATTTATTTTCCCGAGAACAAGTGTATTTTATGATTATCGCATCATAGAACGAATACGGTCACCGCATCACGTGCTTTCAGATGCACTTCTGCGGCTGTCTGGAACGCCCTTCCTTTCTTTAGAACTGCTTTTTGTGTTTCGCTTGTTGTCTTTCCTCCGCACCTCCGATTAGCACGATCGCCTATGTACGGTGCAGAAGAAGTTCAACACACACATAGGAGAGGCGATGTCCTGCTGCCACTAAAGCTATTCCAAGTCATATTAGGCATGCTGATACCATCAAATCTTTAAAATAACATTTTTAAATCTATACGTTGACATGGCTTGCCATCGAACAAAGACGGTCACTGCATCACGTGCTTTCAGATGTGCTTCTGCAGCCGTCTGGAACACTCTTTTTTTCAGATATTAGGAAGTCACTGGAGCTATGCACTTTGAAATCATCTAGATTGAAAATGCATTTATTTACAACTGCTTTTTGTGTTTAGTTTGTTGTCCTTCCCCCGCACCTCCGAATAGCACGGTTCGCTACGTGCGGTGCGAAAGAAGTTCAACATACATACGTACGTCTTGCGTACATTCATTCCCCGTCCCATGGAACAGACACAATCCCACCGGTGTCCCCTCTCACCCAGCAACTTCTCCTGCTCCTCGCGTCGCTCCTTGGCTTGTCTCAGCTTGTCTTCCATCTTCCCGTTGGCTCCCTCTAAGACGGAGATGGTTTCTAAGAAGGAGCACAGACACACACACGCACGCACACAATCGATCTATGAATAAGTAACAATGCAGGAATAAGAACCAAGCAAAGCACTCCGTCTTCGCATAGAACCACCACGTTTTGTTTTTGTCCGCCGGCCAACGGGGCCTTCCTCACCAACGCTGTCCCCGCTCCATTTTTTTAAGCGGGCTAACTCTCTGCTGGTTTTATAACTTTCTCATCAGCAGTCCTGCCTGTTTTAAAAAAAAACCCAGCAACCCAAAAGCGACTTTGGTCAACAGACGTTCGAGTCAGAAGAGCACTCCACCTTCGCAATAGGGTCTGGTCACGACGGGTTAAGGGATTGCAGACGGTAGATAGCAGAGCAGTCGAACGTCAGGAACGCGTCCGCTTTATTGGACCAATATGTTTAAAACAATGAAAGTATCTGACGTCCCGTGGCTTTAGAAAGAGTGCGGCCACTGCCAGCGACGCCTTTGGTGACGCTAATCTGTTGCGACGAGGCGAAGCCCACGCAGGCATGATCATCACCTAAGCTTCTGATCCCTCGCGCAAGTGAATTTCACAACAGCCACTCGGGTCGCTGCTGCGATGACAGAGGAACGCACTGCGATACACTGCACCGCACTGTACAGATCATCGCATCGTCCCGTTTCGGAAAATTGTCCCCACACCGCCGTCGATCGTCATTGCTCTTTGAAATTTCCTAAAATAAAATTACCAACTCGAGAATTCATGTTTGTGGTTAAATAATGTAGATATTATGCATTAAAATTAATGTTTTGTGTAATGCATTTCGGAGTAATTGACTGCATGGTAATTACTGGACGTCATCATTGTACTAATTGATATGTTACTGGCAGAACGTACGTTATACGAAAGGTAGATTTAAATTATTAGAAGAACTGCGGCTGGTAAAATGCAGTTGAGGAACTGAAGACTATTTTTGTTCATACAGCAACGCACAAAGACTACGTAAAAAAACATATTAAAAACAATTACAAAGCTATGTTGAATTTATTTTGCACCGCAAGTAGTCAACCAGGCTAATCGGAGGTGCGGGGGAAGGACAACAAAAACCTAAACACAAAAATATCGAGTATGGTGAAATATGACATCGAACTGTGGTGGTGCACGCACGTAACACAGCGCTGTGCAGTTGGGTTGGTGGATCACCCAGAGATCACCACGTGGTGCGAGACTCCCACTGGGCTGCGAGGTGGCCAGGAGATAGCAGTGCAACAATACAGTTGCCGACCCAACCGCGTGGACCTTTTGTGCGATGGCTTTTCTCTGGGTAATCCGTCTGCTTACCTTGGCAAAAAAAGGACAACTCGCTGTAAATGTAGATGGCCAAACATCTTAACACAGGAGCGTCCCAATAGAGTCTCGATACTTCATGAGGCTTTCTGGGTATGGATTTAATTAAATAATTCCCGTAAGCTTTCATTAATGAAATCACTATATTTCAACTAACAGTAGCGTAGGTCGCATATCCGACTCGCTGGGGACTGAGGTCTACGTGGATATGTGAACATCTATAGACAGTTAATTGGACAGGGAGATTATGTGATAGTTGGATATGTGACGTTGGACTAACTTTCTAAAACGACAGAAGAACACGTTGAAAAATGCTGCTGTTACTTATGAATCTCATTATTGTACAAGCACATCGTCCGTGACAAAAATAAACCATGGTGATTATGATCGAGTGCATGAATAATGCTCTCAATTACTCTAAAACTTCCAGTGAAGAGCATCACAAATTCGTCACGTTGCACGAGTCCATCGGTGAAATATGACAGCAAATTAAGGGATGCCGCAGATTTCTACTGATGGTATAATGTTCCATTGCAGCGCGTGGGCAGAATGTATCATCAGCCCTGCTGCTCCCTTGCACAGACGCGGGGGGGGGGGGGGCTTTGCCATTGTGTGTGCTTACTGCGTCTGCAAAATTAGCTTATGCCATTACGGTCCGCCATGGCCGAGCCAACTTGAATGGCAGAACAACAAAAACCCCATCCATTAGTCCAGAGAAGATTATTGCAAAATTAAGCAAAGTACTGTTGTGGCAGTGATGTTGCTGTCATCATCATTATCATCGGCCGTGGTCAATCCACTGGTGGATGAAGCCCTCCCCAAGCTACAGCCATCTCCTGCAATCCCACCGACGTGACAATCTGCTTAACACCTGAACAGGAGCTACTTTCAGAACTCCATCTCCGCAACGGACGCGTCCTCTACCACGCGTTCTGTTCCTTGGCTGCCACTCCGTCAATATCCTTCAACCAATCGGTCGTAATTGGCAACATGCCCTTCTGAAGCTCATTAATTTCTTATCAGTTCAAATTCCGTGATCTCTTTCCGTCTCCCAAAGTAATACCCATGCATGCATTATCTTCACGCTTCTTGAATGCACTTAACATTTTTTTTGTTAATGTTCATGAACCGCGCGGCACCACGGGTACAGTAGCTCGCCCATCGTTTACAAATTATAATTAAAATAAACAATTCATGCTGTCATGTCTTCATCATCAGGAGCGATTCTCGATCAGCTGCTGGACGAAAGCCTCTCCCCGGACTTGTCTCTCCAACCCTGCAATGCCACAGTCCATCTCACTCCTGTACTTGACCCGATATCATTGCTCCATCCCCGCAGTGGTCCTCCTCCCAAAGCGGTTGAACGGAGGCGTGCGCCACTATGCCAGGTTTAACCGAGTCATAATGATCATTCTGTGGATGTAACTGGTCCCTGCAATGGGAATGTGGAATGTCCACAAAGTGGCGATACAGCCAAGCGCGAGCACATTTGCCGTTTGTTGCAGGGGTTTGTGTTTCAATTATCTGCGTGCAGTTTATCCGATCTGCGGACTAACCGCGCACCTGACATTTTTACATAAATTAATAACTCGTGGACTTTCCCTCAAGCCCCAATTAATAATTTTAAAGGTTATACATTGTGATTTTTGGAAATGTTTATTGCAAGCCACGTACTTGAATCAACCCAATATGTGCTCCGGTTAATCCAAAATCCACGTGATCGCTCTACAGTACAGTAGTTGCAAATGTCTACAACAGTGGGTGACGTTTGATGTTGATTGGCGTGGCTCTGCTGTCACCCACTTAGTGGGCAGACTCTTCTGCGTGGGAGCCAGAAAGTGTTATCACTGAGCACGCGCGCAGTGATAATAAGTTCAATTTTCTTCACCTAAACTTAATGTATACTTATATTAGTGGTTGTTGGCATCGAGATACAATGAACATTGATAGTTTTCGATTATCCGCGATTTTCAATTATCCGTAGCTGTCCTCTCTGTCATCAGCGCAGATAATCGGCAGTCCACTGTACTTTCATCCTTGGAAATTCAAAAATAATTGTTATTAGGAAATTATGACATAAGTGGCTCCGGTAACGCGAGGACAGCATCTGCCAGTGCCCATGGATCGGATACACCGAGGTTAAATTAATCTAACATGGCAACACATTCATTTCAGAACGACTAAACGTTGTGTTTACGTTACTCTAAAAAGGTCGGTAAATCACAAATGAATGGTTATCAACCCAACACTCGTTCAACAATTTTTATTTTAACCAGATAAGGCACAATGAGCTATATAGTGCTCTTTCAGAAGCGACCTGGCCACAAATAACATTCGAATGAAGTGGCTTATCGTGTGGAAATGTATAGCGGCCAAACACTCTAATACGCGTGACGTTGATTCATCATTGTGGATGGAAAAACCTGAAGACTTGGAGAAAAATCCACGCAACCACGGGAAGAACATGCAGAACTCCAAACGTACAGGCGTCAGGGTCGGGATCGAACCCAAGCCCTCCTGTATACCCCAACGCCTCTTCGCTGCTGTCGCCCCCTCAGTGTGAAACTCTGTCCCTTTGCACATCCGTAACATAAAATGCACTTTGACTTTCACGAAATATCTAAAGGCCTCTCTTTCTGTTTAGTCAGGCTTTCGAGCAGCCCTTGAGCTTGGCTCCGCGCCTCTGAGTTGTTGACTCGACCTGCAAAATGTGTCGCCTTATAAATGTCATAATTATTATTACCAGGCAAAGTCGTGAACGTCTCGCCACTTTGGTGACCTAATCACGCGCAATTGGTACGCCTGTGCGATTGAGAGCTGGGCATCAACTCTGAATGTCCAATGTTTACAGCTGGGACGATTCGTCTATTAAGTCGATGAAGCTAAAATAAATGTGCATATGATCGATCACTTTTTTGTGGTTGATTAAATGAGTCCCTTTAAAATAGGCGCCCACACCATCACCCAAATTTTGCCTCCCAAAGGCAGGAAACCCCCGACAAAGCCACACCCGGCGCCAATAATGATGCGGAACAATGATGCAAATGACATTGCCGATCCCCAACCATTACCTCCCGTCCAGCGGCACACTATTTTACGTACAAATATATAAATATCCGTGTTATCCCAATTAGTCAACTGAATTATTGGCAATCGATTGCTCACAGGATCGGATAGCCCAGCTCTGGAAACATTTAAGCCCACTTTTGTCACAATTACCAAGTGCTGATTCAACGGGTCACTGGAATGACGACGCCGCCACCATGATACTATAATCATGATGAGTGGATTTAATGGGTTTGAGTTAATATTTTTTATATTTTTAATGCTCTCATGGGTCCTGGCTGATTATATTGTGTAATAAACAGTTTGATGGCGATTGCAGCGTTGGAATTATCGTGCAGCAATCGGAAAATAAGATTTGCAGTAGTGTCCTCCTCCACCAAGCCTTGCGCTGTGACCTTGTGTTGTTAACGTGTCATAGCCACTAGCGGTGATGTCATCGTATCACAAAGACGAAGATCCCCTGTGTAGCCTTCACAGACTGTAGGGGCAAGTGCTGTTAGCGAGCACCTACGAAGGCCGGCACTGTGGCACACGAGGGGGTGTGTGGCCAGCACCACGCCCGGCCGCCTTTGTCTCCCCAGTGGCGTTGTTTACACGCCGCACCAGGTGCTCATTTGAGGCTGAGTCGACCTAGGGGAAGAGGCCCAGGGCCGGTTCGGATAATCGTCACCGCTGTTGTCCGTGAGCGTGAATCGTAGCGCAGCGCGCTAACCGCTCCACCACCGCTCCCCGCAGACACAAAGATCCCCCGTGTGGACTTAACATGCTGTAGGGGCAAGTGCTGTTAGCGAGCACGCACACACACATACCCTTACCTACATACGAACACACACCCCTTCTCATGCGTACATTTGTTAATAAAAATGCAAATGCAGTAGTGGAAAGGCACAAAGGCACACGCCCATTGAAACAGACAAAACAAATATGCATCCATGAACAAAGGGGTTGTTTGAGACTACAGTGCGGAGCAACCCCTGTAATGCACTGTATGTGTTTTAACATCACAATGAACCTAATATGCACAGACGTGCAATAACACGCGTGGCCCACAAGTACAGAGACACGTGCATACACTTGCACACACAAATACGTACATACACACTTTCACACGCATGAAAGACACACGTACACACACACACATTGATGTGCACACCATATAGTGTTGTACATCACCTATTCAAACGCGATACACACACACAAGACACACACACTAACACACAAGACACACACACTAACACAAGACACACTAGCACAAACAAGACACACACTTACGCACACAAGACACACTAAACACACACTAACACACAAGACACACTAACGCACACAAGACACACTAACACACAAACAAGACACACTAACACACACATCAACCAAATGCACTGCAGTTACAGTGAAGATTATTTGTTGATGATGGCGCTGCTGCTGCATTGGCAGTGATGCAAAAGCACAAATAACAATTAAACTCAACACATTGGCCAATAAACACCGTCATTATGTTCTCTGAAAAAGGGCCATCCCCCAAAACGTCGCCTATTACGTTTATTTTCCCCCTTTAGGGCCACGGTGTTGATATTACAACAGAGATTACAGTACATATATACTGCATGTATTTGACACCGTGTTTTAGACATTGCAGATACATAAATGTGCGTGTTATGCGATTGTGCATGCTATCGTAGAGAGTATGTGGGAAATAGACAGTACACAATTACATTTATATACTGTACCTCAATTTGTTGTGTCATTACTGTTTCACGCAAAGGCAATGCATGCACTATAAGCTTGATCTAAGTCTAATGAATGGCCTTTGCCCGAAACGTCGCCTATTATATGTATATTTGTATTATTATGTTAAGGCCACACACGAGTGTTGATATTATTGACGTGTCTAACGATTGTTACAGTATAATTCGGTATAAATATCACACTTCGTGGACGGACGTGGCTTTCAAATCGAATGTTTTGATATCCACGTTCACAAATAACAAACGCGTTCGACCATTTGTGGATATTTTCCTGCCGTGTGAAGATTTTGTTACGGTACTGTACACGTATTACAAATTGAAATACGTGTACAGTACAGTAGTAACACATATCCCTCATGGGATACACGATACGTGCAATGTCTACGATATGAATACTAAATAATCGGCATATTTTATTTGTGCCAACTGAGCAACGTTCTCGATTATTATAATCCGTGCGTTTAAATCAGCTAATACACGGCTCCATTTTACATAATCGCATCCTCATCATTGTCAACGTTACGAAATAAAACACTTTATAATAAGGCAAATACGCCGTGGGCTCATGTAAATAAATCCTCTACCACGGCATTGTTGGTGTGGGGCGACCATCATAGCGAGCCACGCACGATTTTTACAATTCACAATTGTGAACTCATTCTTACCGCCACGGTATTATTGCCTTCACGTTATTATCTTTTATTGTATGATTAAATAAAAAACTAAATAATACACGTCGTTGCAGTGTTTACACACACACAATCTCACACACGCGCGCTCCACTCACCCATTGCTTCCAGGCGTGGTGAGCAAGACGTCTTGTGACTGGATTCGTGTCTCTATTTAAATAATCTCTCTCTCCTCTCTCTCTCTCCCTTTCCCTGGACTGGCTAGGTAAATATAATACCGACTGAATAATGTGACTGCCTGAATGCCTGAGTAGCCGACTGAAACACTGCCTACTTCACCAGCTTGCTGACGAGATAACCGGCGTGGCTGGCTGCCTGAATGAATGAATGGCTTGGCAGGCTGACTGGCTAAGATAATTGACTAGCTAAGATAACTGGCTGGCTAAGATAATTGATTAGCTAGTTCACCAGCTTGCTGACTGGCTAAGATAACTGACTGGCTAAGATAACTGGCTGGCTAAGATAACTGACTGGCTAAGATAACTGGCTCGCTAAGATAACTGACTGGATAAGATAACTGACTAGTTCACCAGCTGCCTAACTACAGCTGACTTGATCAGCTGGCCGAATTCACTGACCGGGGGAAAACAAAACAAAAATGTGAATGGCCAAGACGACTGACTCGGCTATCCCAACGAGCCGACCACCTGGACTGGCTCACCCGACTACCTGGACTGGCTCAACCGACTACATGGACTGGCTCACCCGACTATCTGGACTGGCTCACCCGACTACATGGACTGGCTCACCCGACTATCTGGATTGGCTCACCCGACTACATGGACTGGCTCACCCGACTACCTGGACTGGCTCACCCGATTATCTGGACTGGCTCACCCGACTATCTGGACTGGCTCACCCGACTATCTGGACTGGCTCACCCGACTACCTGGACTGGCTCACCCGACTACCTGGACTGGCTCACCCGACTACCTGGACTGGCTCACCCGACTACCTGGACTGGCTCACCCGACTACCTGGACTGGCTCACCCGACTATCTGGACTGGCTCACCCGACTATCTGGACTGGTTCACCCGATTACCTGAACTGGCTCACCCGACTACCTGGACTGGCTCACCCGACTACCTGGACTGGCTCACCCGACTATCTGGACTGGTTCACCCGACTACCTGGACTGGCTCACCCGACTACCTGGACTGGCTCACCCGACTACCTGGACTGGCTCACCCGACTACCTGGACTGGCTCACCCGACTATCTGGACTGGCTCACCTGACCGACCAGCGGTGTGTTGTGGTTGTGGCCGGGCTTTATTGGCTCCGTGCGGTAATGTTGATCAGAACAACAACTAAAAAGACGCTTGCAACACCCACGTTCAATGCGGAGCCAATGACATCATCCTCCCAAGGCTTGTTGCACTTGAAAAGGGTGGTGGTGGGTGGGGGGAAGAGGGAGATAGAGATAAAGGCAAAGATCCCCCGTGTAGCCTGCCACAGGCTGTAGGGGCAAGGGCAGTTCGCGAGCATCTTTATTCAAAGACAGCCAAGAGGGCAAAGCACGCCCGGACGCCTTTGTCTCCCCCGTGTGGCGATGTGTTTGTTTTGTTTGACACACCGCACCGAGCTGTACTCATTCGAGGCCGAGTTGACTTAGGGGAGGCCCCGGGACCGGTTCAGATAATCACCGGGAGTCTAACCGATGCGCCACCGCTCCCCCACCCCTGACACTGCATGTGACAACATAAACACAACATACTACACACGTGTACATGTAGCCACAGTCACACCGCTACACGCAATTATAATAATAGACAACACTGTCAAGTTGCGTGCACGCAAATTGTCAATTTATGTCTGCAAGTAATTCGCTTGTGGAATTGTATTATAAATAAAAAATTGTACCTGCAAAAAATCCCAGAGTAAATATGTCCAATGATGTATCGTCTCCTGGAAACGACGGTAGGATGATCTACGTGAGTGCCTGGCCGGATGAATGGGTAAGAGGTAAGGCAGATAGGTAAGGCAGATAGGTGTGTAAGCCAATAAACGTGGAACGTTGGAGTAACGTTGGCCCAACGTTTGTCCAACGGTTCCAACCGCTTGCCAAACGTAGCATCAACGTTGCATGTTTATAGTAAGTAGGTTGGGAAGGTAAGTAGGAAGGCATGCAAATTGTTGGGTAAGCAGATGAGAAGTAAACTAAAAACTAAAACTATTTTTATTTTACCAGGTCAGGTCCCACTGAGCTACGTAGCTCTTTTTTCAGAAGCGACCTGGCCACAAGCGATGGCTCATCACGTGGCTTATCATCATCACGTGGAGATTTATAGCGGCCAAATACTCTAAACTCGTGTTTCTAAGTCGCCAGGTGTACAGGACCTCCTGTACACCAGGCGAGGTAGTTAACATCTCCTAGCCACCGTGATGATGACGACAGAGAGACACGCAAACTCCAAATATACAGCAGCAGGCGTCACGGTCAGGATGGAGCCTAGGACCTCCTGTACACCAGGCGAGGTAGTTAACATCTCCTAGCCACCGTGATGATGATGATGAGAGAGAGAGACACGTAAACTCCAAATATACAGCAGGCGTCAGGGTCTAATCCACGACCTCCTGTATACCAGGCGAGGTAGTTAACATCTCCTAGCCACCGTGATGATGATGAGAGAGGGACACGTAAACTCCAAATATACAGCAGCAGGCGTCAGGGTCTAACGCACGACCTCCTGTATATCAGGCGAGGTAGTTAACATCTCCTACCCACCGTGGCACCCTAAGTATGGGAGTATTGAACGGCAAGACAAGGATTGCACCTGGCAAGCGAGGTGGGAGTGCAGTTCGCGTGCCCTCGAGTCACATTCGGAAGGTCGACAAATCTCATCACCTCTGCTGGTGGGGATGGGTCGATAAAACGAGCACTGCTTTTTTGGGAAGTCAACAGAATCTCGGTGCCCTTCCTGCATGGACTGAGCTCTGTGTTTTAAGAATGCCTAAATTTCAACAGCACGATCAGGCCCACCCATGTACATGCAAAATACAAGCGACCAGCAACGAACAGCACTCGCACAGAGATAAAACTCACCTTCCAGACTTCACCAGTTGCTGTATTGTTACCTGTATAATAGGATATATTCTACAATGATATTCTATACACAAATGCACAGAATTTCTTCCAATTAACCTCATCCCTATTACGACAGAAGAGAGAGAGAGAGATTGACTGGGTTCACAGTGCCAGTTGCCGTGCAACGAAACTTTCACTGCGAAACTGCCAGCGTCCTGCGCCCGAATACACCAGGCAACCCCTCGCTTAACGCGGTAGTAGATACGTTCCTGAAAAGTGCCGTATTATAACAGGAGCGTTCCGTGTTGTAACGGGAGCGTTCCGTGTTATAACGAGCGCGTTCCGTGTCATAACGGGAGCGTTCCGTGTTATAACGGGAGTGTTCCGTGTTATAATGGGAGTGTTCCGTGTCATAACGGGAGCGTTCCGTGTTATAACGAGCGCGTTCCGTGTTATAACGGGAGTGTTCTGTGTTATAATGGAAGTGTTCCGTGTCATAACAGGAGCGTTCCGTGTTGTAACGAGCGCGTTCCGTGTTATAATGGGAGTGTTCCGTGTTATAATGGGAGTGTTCTGTGTTATAACGAGCGCGTTCCGTGTTGTAACGGGAGCGTTCCGTGTTATAACGGGAGTGTTCCGTGTTATAAAGGGGCGCGTTCCGTGTTATAAAGGGCGCGTTCTGTGTTATAACGGGCGCGTTCCGTGTTACAATGGGAGTGTTCCGTGTTATAACGGGAGTGTTCTGTGTTATAACGGGAGTGTTCCGTGTTATAACGGGAGTGTTCCGTGTTATAACGGGCGTGTCCCGTGTTATAACAGGAGTGTTCCGTGTTATAACAAGAGTGTCCCGTGTTATAACAGGAGCGCTCTGTGTTATAACGGTAGTGTCCCGTGTTATAATGGGAGGGTTCCGCGTTGTTTGCCAAAACTACAACTCAGATGCCGAGAGCGAGTGACCTTCACGTGTGAAATTCTGTCTGCAGCCACGTGGGAGTTGGAGAAAAGTCTCCTGCCACGCTTTGCACTGCCGTCTGAATAATTTATGATCCACTCCGACACTGTAAGATTGAACGAAGCAAGCTGGGCAACACGAGATGTTAAGCGAGTATGTTGGGGTGAGTGAGTGGGGGGGGGGGCCGTGAGGATTTTTTTTTCACGTGCGTACAAATTTAAATGCTTACACGTTTAAAAATATAAACATTTGCCGATTACACATTTACGACAAAAATACAATAGGTTTTCAAACAACACACAAACAAGCGATGCGTTAAAAACACGTTTTGTGAAGTTCCATTTAAACCGTCGGCAAGAATTTTTATTTAAAGCTTTCGTGACTGCAGGGATTCATATTCTTGGTTCTTTCGGTAAAGTCACTACGTAGAAGGGAAACAATAAAATAAAAAATGTTGTTTTATATTTTTATTATTTTATTGTTTCCCTTCTACGTAACTTTACCGAAAGAACCAAGAATACGCCGGCAAGAATTGCACTTGGGTCCTCTTTGGGAGGCGACTATCAAAATAAATTGGAGCAAGCGTGACCCACTAACAGCAGCTGCGTTGCAGTGATAGGCAACTGTGGTGGACTGCGTTCATCCGCATTGCGACTCATCATCACGGCAGAGTCTTGCCCCTGTTAACTCGGAGTGTAAATGATGCTGCTGCTGCTACATTCGCAATATAGCCACGGTATACTATATATCTTTCAACACTTTATTATTGTTATGACATTGCACGGCTTATCCTTTAGTTGTATTCGCCGATACGGTGTGTGGATCGCGACACGTCGGCTGACAACGGGGAATACAGCGGCATGGGGAGGAGGAACAGGATGTGCACACGTGTGTCCACATCGCCCTCGAGTCTCAAGGGTCTTCTCGAGCTCCTCCACGCTCTTCTGGGGAAAATACCTCTCCTAACACTCAAACCAGCAACGTTGAGCCAACGTTGAGCCAACGTTGGCGCCGTGGTTGTAACCGTTGCACCAAGGTCGCCCAAAACGTTCCATGTTGACTGGGTCCCAAACTCCCAGCGCACCCCACACAATCTTGATTTGAAGCTTTCGTGATTGCAGGAATCCATACTCTTCCTCGCCACGCGATTCAGCTGCTGTTCGGTGTCACACGAAACGCGAGCCCGTGGTTCTGTCTCTGCTTTCCCTGCTCCTTGTGTTAGACGCCGACATTCTGCCGCACAGTCTCATCCAGGCTTTGGAAGTCCAGGGAAGCGTGTTGTTGGACTCACGTTGCGTTTCTGGCAGGATGGAGAGTAGTGAACTATTTGTCTTTTGTCAACGTGACGCTTTTTTTGCTGATTGGCCGTGTCGGGTGGTGGAGGGTTACGACACATTTATAAATAACGCGATCTAACCCAAAAAACCTTTATTATGAATATTGGTCGCGAAAGCCTACGTGTTAAACTGAGGATGGAGATGGTTCAGTTTGTATTTGTGTGCGTCTGGGTGATGTTTCTACCTTTCTTGTACTTTGCACGACTATCGTGTTTTTGTACCGTTTGTTGTCGGATTCCTCCAGTATATCCACAATATTCTGAATTATTTCTATACACAGGCAACCGGCGTAAGACCACTTCGTCATCGTGTATACGGTCACAAGTGTTTATGCATCGCTCGGTGAATCTTTATCACGGAGGCAACATAAGTTTAGAAAAATAATCCTTTACAAACCATTAAAAAAACATATATTCTTCACGACGACACTAATGATTGTACATCGAGTTATGTATTACAATATAATTCCACGCCAAACCAGGGTCCCAGTATCGTGAAGGGTGTCTCCTTGTCGCCCCGTGACATTGTCGAGCTCACCGGCATTGACTGCAGCGACTTTGCTGATGAGACACTGTGCGTTGAAACCAGTCCACCGTTGCTGGTCCTGAATCAATGCTGTTGACGTTTTGCACCCCCCAGGAGGCCTTGCGGCTGATGTGTGTCCGTGTAAGAAATACGTTTGCTGTTTTAGCGTGAAGACAGACACGCGAAGGATACATGTTCCGCTTGTTATGTCACGTCAACGAAACCTCAGTATAACCTCACGTTGCTATAAAGCGATTAGGAAACCGGGCGAATTGATTTAAGGTTTTGCCAAAAACCTTGAGACAAAAAAAGTGGTAAAAATAGTTGCAAAACCAACGCTAAAAGGTTGTGATTGAAGGTGCCTCCTATTCCTCCCCTCTGCCGCGAAATTTCCACGAATTCCTCACATTAGTTTAACATGTGGTAGGCTTTCGCGACCAATATCATCCATAATACAGGTTTTTTGGGTGAGATCATGTAAATGTGTCGATAAACCCGCCACCACCAACTAGTAAGGGGTTTGTCACGTAAACAGAACACGCCAATTCGTTACTACTACAGCACACCGGTGTGTTGGAGAGCAGATCCACAACAAATTTACAATCCGAGTACAGACGTCCTCACATTAGTTGAACAAATTATTTGGTGACAGAGACTGCGCGTTGGCAGTGGCGCACACGCACGGATAACGAAATCTTCCACCTCTCATTTCTCGGCGTATGCCGTCCGTAGACAGACTCCCCGTCGCTCATCCCGCCTCAAGAGTCTGAGACTGTTGCCCGGCACGCTTTCTCACTTGCAGCTCAGCCTGTGTGGAACGCACTCTCCCATTGCACGTGCATCGTTACATCACCCCCCCCTCAATATTCAAATCACACTTAAAGCACGTTCTTGTCGGCCGCTGCTCACGGATATGTGTGCTAGGGTTTCATGATGCTCGGTGTTGTGGGGTTACTGGTTTGCAAGCGTAACGCGGGTTTAAAATCCACTTATGACCATCGTTCCCTGGACTTTCTCGAGTGTCAGGAGGTTGAGTGCCGAGTGGTTGATGTTGCCGCACTTGGTCCATGCTCTGTCCACCTCCGTGCTCTTTGTCTGCGGTGTTCCCGTACCTCTTGAATGACGGTGACAGTCCTGTGTTTCAAGGTGTTTGTGTGGCGGGTCAAAATGTCACGCGTTTCGAGATGCAGTTTGCATGGATGACGCTCAATAAAATAATTACCGTATTATTAAAATTATAACAATGAGAAACTGCACTACATTCGTCAACGACACTGTGGGCATTTAAAAATAAAGAGAGGCAACGTTTCGGGCAATGGCCCTTGTCATGATGTCCAATGAATGGTCAGGGCCATCGCCCGAAACGTCTGGCGATAATATACTTTTTCTTTCCTTTTAAAAGCCACCGGTGTTTGTTGCCGAATGTTCGTCGACTTTCGTGCATCGCAGTCGATGCAATAAAAATGGCGACGCGCTGATATTTGTAAACCGCGAGGAAATAAAGCCACTTCAAACAAAGTGTGCGTGATAAACGGCCTTTATTAGGAGTACATTGTCAATAAGTGAACTTTAAAAATATATATTGTATCAAACAAAATGCCGCGTGTTATTACTTCGATATGAATAACAATCGGTACACGTTCAAAACATTCCATGCTGCCGCGCAGAAAAATATACGAAATTTTAAGTTTTAATTTCACAACAAACGCACTCTTCCAGGAGCGGACGATGCTTCGGTCCGAGCCCACTTCATCAGTATGGGTTATAAAACAAAACAGTAGATTTACATTTTAAATAAGGCGTTACACACGTACAACAACAATTGTACAGTGGCGTTCCGATTTGCAACTTTGCGAATTCAGTTAAATAATAGTGAAATCAGTGTTCCAGTTTTTTGATTGAAATACAATTGTGCACAAACGCACTGCTTTGGGAACACGGAAAACACGCCGTATGTCTATCAACACGCGTTCAGTTGTAGATTGCCGCGAGTGTTTACGGGTGGACGATTAGCACGCAACTCACGATCTGCAGGTCACAAGTTGAAAACCTGGTCACCTCACACCCTCATCGTCCCTCCGGGGTGGATTAAAATGAGCACCGCGTTGCGGGAAGTCATCAACAACAACAAAAACACCCACAGAGCGACCTGACCCCCCTCTGCCATAAGAATGTGGAATTGCCTACCGATGGGCTCTGTCAAGGGCAGCGAAGGAGAGCAGCAAAGCACAAAGCTCGTTTGATCTTCGTGACTTTGATTTCATGCTGGAGTCATCATTCAAGGTGACCGTACGGAAGAGTCGTCAAGTAAAATTTCACAAACTCTGTACGTTGCACATTTCAAAACGGCAAAGGTGCAGCCCTGCAATCGTTTTGCTTGCGCCACTGCTGAAGGAGATGCCTCCAGCGGTGGGGGGGGAGCTCTCGAGAGCCCGCTAGAGGGTTACTTGGCCTACTCTTCCGCGCTGGCCGGCGCGTCTTGGCAGAGGTAGGAATACCAACGCGTTACCCCACACGCAACCAGCCAAGCCACCGCGGCAAACCCGTTCATACCGCCGGGTTGACAGAGCTGATGGTGTCGGATTTGAGAAACTCGCCACCGTCGTTTCAACCGCCGTGCCGGGAGATCGAATCGAACCGGCGACCTCCGGATCGCAAGTCCGGCGCGTCACCTTTGACGCCACGGCAGCGTTGAGCATTCAAATGAAACGTAACACACACACACACACACGCGTCAATAATAACTTAAGTTTCACAATGAGTTTTCATCACCAGAGAAAATACGACTTTTGGCTCAATTGAAATAAAAGCCTTGTTTACCCACGGATAGACACCACGAGGGAAGGGAGCTATAGCCAAAGGAATCACATTGAACAGAGAAAGAGAAGGGAGCGGACAAGGGACGGAACGGGATAAGGATTAAGTCAAGCGGGAAAAAACGAGTGGACGATGCAAACGAGGAGGTCATGCCGTAGAAGAGACGAAAGAGAAATCAATTCTTGAATTGCGACGCTCGAAGTGTAATGCTGGAATAGAGCACGCGGCCGCGTCTTTACAAGTACTGGTAACATCATCGTCATCGCAGATTCGATATCACAACCGTCACCGACATCAACCATTACCACCGTTACTGTAACAATATCATCGTTATCACTACCACCACCAACATAATAATAATAATCTTCACCATCACCACCTTCATCATCACCACGACCACGACAACAAAAATCTGCATCACTATCACCGTCATCCTCCTAGGGTGTCAAATTTGAATAAACCACCACAATATGATCTTCACCACCATCCCCCATCATCATCATCCCTCTTGGGTGGTAAAATTGAGTACGTAACCAAATACTAAGATCCCCCGTATAGCCTTGTTGGGGCAAGTGCTGTTAGCGAGCACCTATGAAGGCCGGCATGGCACACGAGGGGGTGGGTGGCCAGCACCACGCCCGACCGCTTTTGTCTCGCCTGTGGCGATGTTTACGCATTGCACCAGGTACTCATTTGAGGCTGAGTCAACCTAGGGGAGGTCCGGGACCTGTTCAGATAATCGTTCCTGGTGTTAGCCGTGAGCGGGAATCGAACTCAGGTTTCCAGGTTCGTAGCGCAGCACGCTAATCGCTAAACTACCGCTCCACAAACCACCACCAGTACCAACTTTATTACCACCACCACCACCACCAGCAGAATCATCAATATCATCATCATCATCCCTCCGGGGTGGTTAAATTGAGTACACCATCACCTCTCAAGGGATGATTACTGTGACTAGCGCGGCTGCACCATTTCAGCATGCAAGCCTAACAGAAGCCCTTGACTGTGTTGTTAAGGTCATTCCGTGTCCCGCGACGGGAATGTGGAATTTCCACCATGGGATTCGATCTGACCCGTTAAGACGAGCGCCCACCGCCCAAAGCCGACAGCCACTGGAGCGTGGCACGTCATTGCGACAAAACTCAGTTTAACACGTGGTAGTAGTCGGGATTTTTACGGACAATATCAAGCATGAGGTTTTTGGGTTGGATCGCGTAAATATAAATGTGTCGTTAAACCCGCCCACCACCCGACATAGACAATTAACAGAGGTTTAATAAGTTAGTAAGTAACCCACTTGGGTTTACTCTCCAACACACCCGGTGTGCTGTACTAGCAACAAATTGACACATTTTGTTCACGTGACAAACCTTACTAATTGGCTGTGTCGGGTGGTGGTGAATTTAACGACGCAACTCTGATGAACAATCTATTATATTCTTGGTTCTTTCGGTAGAAGGGAAACAATAACATAATAAAAATATAAAACAATAAAATTCTCACGACGTTTCGACTGCAACACAAGCAATCATCATCAGGTGTGAAAACCACAAGAAAATTTGTTTTTTATTGTTTTATATTTTTATTATTTTATTGTTTCCCTTCTACGTGACTTTACCGAAAGAACCAAGAATAGGAATCCCTGCAGTCACGAAAGCTTTAAATCAAAAGAACAATCTATTGTTATATAATTACACCCCCCCCCCCCCCCGCCTGCTCTCCGCACCTGATTGGATCATTGATGACGTGACATTGCTCTATTAAAGACCGCAAACTCGTGGATTGCTTCACTATTCTGGCAAATCGCCCGATGATGCTGGATGTAATTATGAGCGAAACGTCTTACTCGAAATGTAAATGTCGTGGATTTACTCTACAATACACCGGTGGGCGTTTTGTTTACGTGACAAACCTTACTGGCTGCGTCGCGTGGTGGAGGGTTACGACACATTCATACTTATAGCGATCTAACCCAAAAACGTTCATAATGGACACGTTTAGATTCACGCGCTCTAACCTCTACTATGAAAACAAAAAGCACAGCAACGAGAGCAACCACCATACAAACAGCGATGGCAAAATCCAGCACCACAGGAACCTGTGGGTGCTCATTTTCTCAAACAGTTTTCGTCACCCGGTGGGCCCGTGCGGCAGACGTTACCCACAGAGCACCCCTCCGGTAGTGCAGTACCCACCCGCGAGGAAACCAAACTAAACTATATATTTTTTTAAACAAAGTAAAAGCCCCCCACTGAGCTGCTACGTGGATCTTTATTCCAAAGCGACATTGCCGTCGCGAAGGAGAGCTCAACGGAGTGGCTTATCATCCACGTGGAAATGTATAGCCGCAGCAGCAGTAGCAGCCGAATACTCTCGACGCCGCGATGTTGATTCTTAAATGTGGAAGGGAAAAACCCGGAGAAAAATCCACGCGAAACAATCGCGGATGTGCCCTTGGTCTAAGACGTATTTGCTCGATAAGCCCCCCCCCTCCGCCTGTCGGAGCTAACCAATCGGGTGAGCAGGCGACACATTTGGCACGTGTGATTGGCTGCTTAGTTCTTTGTGTTGCGGGGCACGCACGCACGGACACGTGTAGGCATGGCACGGGAGCGACGTGACCAGTACTGTACTGAACACCTGACCACGTTTGTCTCTCCCCCCGATAGTGACGTCTACACAGGGCACGAGCGACACAATTAAGGCCGAGTCGGACCCCTGGTGTCTTTCCGTGAGGCCCGCGCATCCGCGGCTTGGTTCTGGCTTGGCACGCCAAACGGCGAGTGGGAAAAAACAAACACCTGTACCACGACGGTCCTCTTCTGGCTCAGGCTTTGATGCGCCCGTGGAAAACGGCGGCTTGTGAGTCCCCAAGAGAGAGAAACAGATGACGATTACTTTAAGAAGTCGTATTTTTTTTTTACCATTTCATTGGCCTCGAGACGGAGAGGCGTGTCTTAAAGTTTGGCAAGTTACTTGCACAAGACGTTTCGTGATGTGCCATGCGGACTTCACTTGGCGTGCTTGGTCTGTCTGTGCTCCAGGATAGCGGTCCATATTCGGCACAGGGTTCCACCTCTGTAAAGCGGACATAATGGATTACTGGAAGAGATCTAAGAAAAACATGCATTATTATTTTTGTCCCATGGGTATGATGGATGGATACAAACCGAATGAAGAACAGTTTACTCTCAATTATCAGTGGGGGCAGATTGAAGCGACAGCGGATTGAATGTGCTGAACAAATGAAAAGATAAAGCGCGTTCACATCTGTGACGGTTCCACTACGAGCTGCTCCTCACTCATCGAGGGTGAGGCCTCAGGTCCCTCACAAATAATTACAGGGACTCCTCTACTTATGAATGAGTTAGGCTCCAGGTCTGTTCGCAAGTCGATTAGTTCCCAAGTCCAACTTTACTCCTGTCGATTCCAAACATGTTGTGCGGCGTGCACACGAAACATGGGGAATGGCTTTAAAAGTTGTATAATCTCCTGTAGATGAAGATGCCACTGGTTCTTCACGTTCTGCAGATGCAGATACCACCTCCGGCATCTATTGCGCGGCGGTTGAACTTAGGACTCTCGGTCCAAACCGGCAACTGGACATACGGACAGATTTGTTCGTATCTCTAAAAGTTTGTAAGTAGAATGTTCGCGAGTGCAGGACTCCCTGTACTTCGGAAAGTGATGAAACAGATCTTCACCGCCATGCTACGTCAGGAAATGTTTATCTATTATTATATTGTTCGAAGCGAAAGCTTAGTTGTTTTTGCCAAGCTGGCCCATCCCTACTTACTGACCCTACCCACCGATAGCTAATGCTGCTCAGGCATTCACCACCCTTCCGCAACCCCCACCACAAAGACTCAAACCAGCCCAAACCATTGCCCGGAGGAAGAGGTGGGGCCTAACCAGGAAAAGGTGTGGCCTAACCAGGAAGAGGCGTGGCCAAATGAGTTAGGGGTGGGGTCTAAAAAGGAAGGGGTGGCGCCTAAATAGGTTAAACCTCCATGTCGATTCAAGGCAATAGAAGCGTAAAACAAATACGTGCAGCAGGCAGCAGCAATACCTTTAGTGCCATAGACGTTGCCGCAAGCCAACTTGTTAAGATTTAACATCCTTATTTACGTGCTTTTTGCATAATTCTTGCTGTTTGTATGTATGTATGTAGAACTTCTTTTGCACCGTACATAAAACCCTTCAACTGAAAGTCGGCTACTCTACTACGCAAGAGGCAAAGGCGCAGCCCTGCAATTGCCTGTACACGCCAATGCTGGCAGAAAGCACCTTCACACGAGGAATGAGAGAACTTGCCTTAACTGGAGAGCTTTGAGATCCTCTCTGCTCACAAAGCCCAAAATGTCCTGCAGTGAGTAATCTTCCTCTACAAACTGTAAACAACACAGCACACACAAAGCGCACTATGGTTGATGCTGCTGCTGCATTGACGGTGACGCACAAGCACAATTAACATGAATACACAATTGTCGATAACACTGTTGTTGCAAATGCGATTTGTAACTTTGAACCTAACCCATGTATCGATAGTGCAATTTTAATGTGCAATTTCATTGAGATACTGTGTTGTTGTCTTGGTGTGGTCTCGGACTGTTGTTGTTCTCTTGCTGCCTTGCTGGCCTTCATAGATGCTGCTACTCGCGAAAAGCACTTGCCCCAACAGGCTGTTAAGGCTATACGGGGGGTCTTTGTCTGTGTGCGGTAGTGTAGCGGTTAGCGCGCCGCACTTTGAACCCGGTGACCCGAGTTCAATTCCCGCTCACGGACAACACCAGTGACGATCATTTGAACCGGTCCCGGGCCTCACCTAGGTCGACTCAGCCACAAACCAGTACCTGGTGCGGTGTGTAAACATCGCCACTATGGAAAGAAAGACGACCGAGCGTGGTGCTGGCCACCCACCCCCTCGTGTACCATGCCGGCCTTCATAGGCGCTCGCTAACGACACTTGCCCCAACAGTCTGTTAAGGCTGTGTGTGTGTGTGCGGTAAAGCAAGCCTTCTCACCTTATCGATGGCACTTTGGGAGACACCCTGATCCCTGAGCCAGCTGACCAGCTCCGGGTCTTCTGATTGGCCGTAATTGGTCACGTAATAACGTGGCCGCTCGTTTGGGATGTCTGTGGAGGGTAATACAGCGCGAGAGAAAGATCCCCCGTGTAGCCACAATCAACTGTTGGGTGAAGTTGCTGTTAGTCGCGAGTATCGCCGACGAAGGCCGGCACGGCAACACGAGGCGATGCACGAGCAGGGTCGGCTACTCTATTACAAAGAGGCAAAGGTGCAGCCCTGCAATTTCCTGCTCAAGCCAATGCTGGCAGCGAGCGCCTTCCCACTGGAGGAATGAGAGAATTTGCCTTGGCTGCAGAGCTGTCAGATGGAGACGTGTACAGATATACATGTGGTACGGACTTGTCCGCTTATTTATTGTCACGTACGCACGAGGGGGTTGTTAAACTGCGCCATTCTCGTTGCGAGCGTACCGGTTGAAATGCGCGACGTTTTATCAACCACCGCGCCGGGAGATGGAGTGGAACCGGCGGCCTCGCGATGCGGAGGCCGCCGGTCCCGCTTACCGTTAATCCACTGCTGTGGCAGCTCCCTCCGGTTCTCAATCAAGAAGCAAAACATTTAACTTTTATTTCTAAGAGACATTTACATATACGCACGGCAAAACCGGTAACCGTTGTAACCAATGTTTGTGGTTACCGGCAACCCAAAACAACATGATTTTAACAATAATACAACGCTAACAACGCTAACACACACAAACCACTGCATTCCTGCTCCTTGATCCACCAATCACACCGCACCAGCAATCGGCGCGCGTGATTGGCCGGTCCCAGTAACGCCGCTCACCGATTGGCTTGCTGGTCGTACGGAGCATCTCGATGTCGGTGGACCTCTGCTGGATGGAGAGCTGCAGCAGCGTCTGGTACTCGCGCTCCTTGTCGATGAGCTCCTCCAGCAACCTGCACGCAACCCGGGCATCACGACCGGGCATCACGGCCGGGCATCACGACCTGGCATCACGACCTGGCATCACGACCTGGCATCACGGCCGGGCATCACGGCCGGGCATCACGGCCGGGCATCGCCGTTCCGCTGCGCCTCACAGACCGGTGTCCCCTCCTCTGCCACCGCGCCCTCTCCTCCTCGCCTCTGCTCTCACACCTCGCCACGGTGGCGGCAGCGCCATTAACCCACCCCTCTGAGCAGCGCCGCGGCCGGTGGAAGCGCCTCCCTCGATCGGCCACCCCCCCCCCCCCCCCCCCCCCCCCAAATATGGGACAGTGGTCGCCACTGCTGCCTGAAATTCCACCTGGAATTCCGCCTGGAATTCCAGCGGCAGCGAGTCACCTTCCACCGTCAAGCAGCGCCTAGCGACAGGCAGAAAAGCGCGCTACCGCTCGGCCGCGTCGCCCGCAGTGCCGAGTATTTCACGTTAATCGATCAGCTTCTTGGTTAACGCGCACACGGTGTTTACCCGGGCGACCACCGTCCAATCAATACAAAAATCAATAACGGGGCGACCATCGTCGACCCCTTCGCCGATCGCATCGCTCCTCACCTGCTGTTCTCAATCTTGAGCCGTCCCAGCTGCACACTCAGCACCTGGCTCTGCCGCAAAGCATCGTGGGACAGCGTGGAGCTCAGGGTGCTCACGCCCGAGGTCACGTGACCTTCGTCGGCGGCGGGGGGCGGCAGCAGCAGCTGGATTCCGTGGTGACTGCCGCCGCCCCCCTCGCCGTTCTCGACGCGCCGCCCTCTCCCGACGCCGCCGCCGCCGCGGTCGTCGTCCTCGTCCTCGTCCTCGTCGTCCTCGTCGTCCACCTCTCCGTCGGCGGCGGTGCCGGCGCGGCCGGGCTTGCCGCGGAGTTCCCGCTCGTCCTCGGCCACCGGGCCGAAGTGCGACTGAAGTTCTGACGGCAAAGACGAGAGCGAGGTAAACCGCGCGCACCGAGAACCCGCAGCAGCGAGGGCGGGCCGACTCGGGAGAGACGCTCGCCCGCGATGGCCCCACGCACGCCGGCCGTGCGCCCCTCGCGTCCGCCGTTGGGTCGGGAAAACGGCGTCCGACGTTTCGCTACGCGTGCCGGGAGCGGCGGTGCAGCGGTCAGCGCGCCGCGCTACGGACCCGGCAAACCCGAGATCGATTCCCGCTCACGGCCAACACCGGTGAGTCCCCTAGGTCGACTCGGCCTAAAGCGGGTGCGTAGTAAACATCGCCACTGGGGAGGCCGCCGGGCGTGGTGCTGGCCACCCAGCCCCTCGTGTGCCACAGTGCCGGCCGCCATAGGCGCTACTTGTCGCCAACAGCACTTGCCTCTACAGTTTGTAAAGGCTACACGGAGGGGGGGAGGGTGGGGGTTTGTTTGTGTGAGCGGGTGGAGCGACGTCACACCTGGTATGAGGGTGGTGATTGTGTGAGCGAGTGGAGCGACGTCACACCTGGTATGAGGGTGGTGATTGTGTGAGCGAGTGGAGCGACGTCACACCTGGTATGAGGGTGGTGATTGTGTGAGCGAGTGGAGTGACATCACACCTGGTATGAGGGTGGTGATTGCTACTTGTACTGCTCTCCGAATGAGGCTGTCCAGGGCAAACATCCAGTGGGGCTTGATGTTGTGGGTTTTCAGCACGCGGTTTACCTGCAGTGAACAACAATTACAACTTGTAACAACAACAATTACAACTTGTAACAACCACAACAACTTGTAACAACAACAATTACAACTTGTAACAACCACAACAACTTGTAACAACAACAATTACAACTTGTAACAACCACAACAACTTGTAACCACAACAATTACAACTTGTAACAACCACAACAACTTGTAACAACAACAATTACAACAACTTGTAACAACAACAATTACAACTTGTAACAACCACAATTACAACAACTTGTAACAAAAACAATTACAACTTGTAACAACCACAACAACTTGTAACAACAACAACAACTTACAACAACAACTTGTAACAACAATTATAACTTGTAACCGCAACAATTACAACTTGTAACAACAACAACTTGTAACAACCACAACAACTTGTAACAACAACAACAACTTGTAACAACCACAATTACAACTTGTAACAACAACAACAACTTGTAACAACCACAACAACTTGTAACAACAACAATTACAACTTATAACAACAACAATTACAACTTATAACAACCACAACAACTTGTGACAACAACAATTACAACTTGTAACAACCACAACAACTTGTAACAACAACAACAACAACTTGTAACAACAACAACTTGTAACAACCACAACAACTTGTAACAACAACAATTACAACTTGTAACAACCACAACAACTTGTAACAACAACAACAACTTGTAACAACAACAGCAACTACAACTTGTAACAATAACAACAACTTGTAACAACAATTACAACTTGTAACAACAACAATTACAACTTGTAACAACAACAATTACAACTTATAACAACCACAACAACTTGTAACAACAACAATTACAACTTGTAACAACAACAACAATTACAACTTGTAACAACCACAACAACTTGTAACAACAACAATTACAACTTGTAACAACAACAATTACAACTTGTAACAACAACAATTACAACTTATAACAACCACAACAACTTGTAACAACAATTACAACTTGTAACAACAACAATTACAACTTGGAACAACCACAACAACTTGTAACAACAACAATTACAACTTGTAACAACAAAAATTACAACTTATAACAACCACAACAACTTGTAACAACAATTACAACTTGTAACAACAACAATTACAACTTGTAACAACCACAACAACTTGTAACAACAATTACAACTTATAACAACCACAACAACTTGTAACAACCACAACAACTTGTAACAACCACAACAACTTGTAACAACAACAATTACAACTTGTAACAACAACAATTACAACTTGTAACAACAACAACAACAACTTGTAACAACAACAATTACAACTTATAACAACCACAACAACTTGTAACAACAATTACAACTTGTAACAACAACAATTACAACTTGTAACAACCACAACAACATGTAACAACAACAATTACAACTTGTAACAACAACAATTACAACTTGTAACAACAACAACAACTTGTAACAACAACAATTACAACTTGTAACAACCACAACAACTTGTAACAACAACAATTACAACTTGTAACAACAACAATTACAACTTGTAACAACAACAATTACAACTTGTAACAACAACAATTACAACTTGTAACAACCACAACAACTTATAACAACAACCCACAACAACAACTTGTAACAACAACAACAACTTGTGACAACAACAATTACAACTTGTAACAACAACAATTACAACTTGTAACAACCACAACAACTTGTAACCACAACAATTACAACTTGTAACAACCACAACAACTTGTAACAACAACAACAACTTGTAACAACCACAACAACTTGTAACAACAACAACAATTACAACTTGTAACAACCACAACAACTTATAACAACAACAATTACAACTTGTAACAACCACAACAACTTGTGACAACAACAATTACAACTTGTAACAACCACAACAACTTGTAACAACCACAACAACTTGTAACAACAACAATTACAACTTATAACAACAACTTGTAACAACAACAATTACAACTTGTAACAACAACAACAACAACTTGTAACAACAACAATTACAACTTGTAACAACAACAACAACTTGTAACAACAATTACAACTTGTAACAACAACAATTACAACTTGTAACAACAATTACAACTTGTAACAACCACAACAACTTGTAACAACAACAATTACAACTTGTAACAACAACAACTTGTAACAACAACAATTACAACTTGTAACAACCACAACAACTTGTAACAACAACAATTACAACTTATAACAACAACAATTACAACTTGTAACAACCACAACAACTTATAACAACAACAATTACAACTTATAATAACCACAACAACTTGTAACAACAATTATAACTTGTAACAACAACAATTACAACTTGTAACAACAACAATTACAACTTGTAACAACAACAATTACAACGTGTAACAACAACAACAATTTGTAACAACCACAATTATAACTTGTAACAACAATTACAACTTATAACAACAATTACAACTTATAACAACAACTTGTAACAACAACAATTACAACTTGTAACAACAACAATTACAACTTGTAACAACCACAACAACTTATAACAACAACAACAACAACTTGTAACAACAACAACAACTTGTGACAACAACAATTACAACTTGTAACAACAACAATTACAACTTGTAACAACAACAACAACTTGTAACAACCACAACAACTTGTAACAACAACAACAATTACAACTTGTAACAACCACAACAACTTATAACAACAACAATTACAACTTGTAACAACCACAACAACTTGTAACAACCACAACAACTTGTAACAACAACAATTACAACTTATAACAACAACTTGTAACAACAACAATTACAACTTGTAACAACAACAATTACAACTTGTAACAACAACAATTACAACTTGTAACAACCACAACAACTTGTAACAACAACAATTACAACTTGTAACAACAACAATTACAACTTGTAACAACAACAATTACAACTTGTAACAACAACAATTACAACTTGTAACAACAACAATTACAACTTGTAACAACAACAACAACTTGTAACAACAACAATTACAACTTGTAACAACAATTACAACTTGTAACAACCACAACAACTTGTAACAACAACAATTACAACTTGTAACAACAACAATTACAACTTGTAACAACAACAACAACTTGTAACAACAACAATTACAACTTGTAACAACAATTACAACTTGTAACAACCACAACAACTTGTAACAACAACAATTACAACTTGTAACAACAACAATTACAACTTGTAACAACAACAACAACTTGTAACAACAACAATTACAACTTGTAACAACCACAACAACTTGTAACAACAACAATTACAACTTATAACAACAACAATTACAACTTGTAACAACCACAACAACTTATAACAACAACAATTACAACTTATAACAACCACAACAACTTGTAACAACAATTATAACTTGTAACAACAACAATTACAACTTGTAACAACAACAATTACAACTTGTAACAACAACAATTACAACTTGTAACAACAACAATTACAACGTGTAACAACAACAACTTGTAACAACCACAACAACTTGTGACAACAATTACAACTTGTAACAACAACAATTACAACGTGTAACAACAACAACAATTTGTAACAACCACAATTATAACTTGTAACAACAATTACAACTTATAACAACAATTACAACTTATAACAACAACTTGTAACAACAACAATTACAACTTGTAACAACAACAATTACAACTTGTAACAACAACAATTACAACTTGTAACAACCACAACAACTTATAACAACAACAACAACAACAACTTGTAACAACAACAACAACTTGTGACAACAACAATTACAACTTGTAACAACAACAATTACAACTTGTAACAACAACAACAACTTGTAACAACCACAACAACTTGTAACAACAACAACAATTACAACTTGTAACAACCACAACAACTTATAACAACAACAATTACAACTTGTAACAACCACAACAACTTGTAACAACCACAACAACTTGTAACAACAACAATTACAACTTATAACAACAACTTGTAACAACAACAATTACAACTTGTAACAACAACAATTACAACTTGTAACAACAACAATTACAACTTGTAACAACCACAACAACTTGTAACAACAACAATTACAACTTGTAACAACAACAATTACAACTTGTAACAACAACAACAACTTGTAACAACAACAATTACAACTTGTAACAACAATTACAACTTGTAACAACCACAACAACTTGTAACAACAACAATTACAACTTGTAACAACAACAACAACTTGTAACAACAACAATTACAACTTGTAACAACCACAACAACTTGTAACAACAATTACAACTTATAACAACAACAATTACAACTTGTAACAACCACAACAACTTATAACAACAACAATTACAACTTATAACAACCACAACAACTTGTAACAACAATTATAACTTGTAACAACAACAATTACAACTTGTAACAACAACAATTACAACTTGTAACAACAACAATTACAACTTGTAACAACAACAATTACAACGTGTAACAACAACAACTTGTAACAACCACAACAACTTGTGACAACAACAATTATAACTTGTAACCCGCCGTACAGTATCCGCTTCTCACTCTCGTAGAGAGGACGACTCAGAGAGAGAGAGGACGACTCAGAGAGAGGACGACTCAGAGAGAGAGGGAGGGAGGACGACTCAGTGAGAGAGGGAGGGAGGACGACTCAGAGAGAGAGAGGACGACTCAGAGAGAGAGAGGGAGGACGACTCAGATAGAGAGAGAGGGAGGGAGGACGACTCAGATAGAGAGGGAGGGAGGACGACTCAGAGAGAGAGAGAGAGGATGACTCAGAGAGAGAGGACGACTCAGAGAGAGGACGACTCAGAGAGAGAGAGGACGACTCAGAGAGAGAGAACGACCCAGAGAGAGAGGACGACTCAGAGAGAGAGAGGACGACTCAGAGAGAGAGGACGACTCAGAGAGAGAGGACGACTCAGAGAGAGAGAGGGAGGACGACTCAGAGAGAGAGAGAGGACGACTCAGTGAGAGAGAGGACGACTCAGAGAGAGAGGACGACTCAAGAGAGAGAGGACGACTCAGAGAGAGAGAGGACGACTCAGAGAGAGAGAGAGGGAGGACGACTCAGAGAGAGAGAGGGAGGACGACTCAGAGAAAGAGAGAGAGGACGACTCAGAGAGAGAGAGAGAGAGGACGACTCAGAGAGAGAGGACGACTCAGAGAGAGAGAGGACGACTCAGAGAGAGGACGACTAAGAGAGAGAGAGGACGACTCAGAGAGAGAGAGAGGACGACTCAGAGAGAGAGAGGACGACTCAAAGAGAGAGAGAGGACAACTCAGTGAGAGAGAGAGGACGACTCAGAGAGAGAGAGAGAGGACGACTCAGAGAGAGAGAGGACGACTAAGAGAGAGAGGACGACTAAGAGAGAGAGAGGACGACTAAGAGAGAGAGAGGACGACTCAGAGAGAGAGAGAGAGGACGACTCAGAGAGAGAGGACGACTCAGAGAGAGAGAGAGGACGACTCAGAGAGAGAGGACGACTCAGAAAGAGAGAGAGGACGACTCAGAGAGAGAGAGGACGACTCAGAGAGAGAGAGGACGACTCAGAGAGAGAGGACGACTCAGAGAGAGAGGACGACTCAGAGAGAGAGAGAGAGAGGACGACTCAGAGAGAGGACGACTCGGAGAGAAAGAGAGGACGACTCAGAGAGAGAGAGAGGACGACTCAGAGAGAGAGAGGACGACTCAGAGAGAGAGAGGACGACTCAGAGAGAGAGAGAGGACGACTCAGTGAGAGAGAGAGAGGACGACTCAGAGAGAGAGAGGACGACTCAGAGAGAGAGGACGACTCAGAGAGAGAGAGGACGACTCAGAGAGAGAGGACGACTCAGAGCGAGAGAGGGGACGACTCAGAGAGAGAGAGGACGACTCAGAGAGAGAGAGGACGACTCAACTAACGCACAAGAAGCAACCCCTAGAGAAATGAGAGCATTGCCCCCTGCGCTCCGGTTTCCTCCACAGCGCGTATTCTTAATATGGAGCCACCCCCCCTCATTAATAATCATGAGCAGGTGACGTCACTCCACATGGAGCACCCCCTCATTAATAATCATGAGCGAGTGACGTCACTCCACATGCAGCACCTCCTCCCCCCTCATTAACAATCAAGAGCGAGTGACGTCAATCCACATGCAGCACCTCCTCCCCCCTCATTCATAACCATATGCGGGTGACGTCACTCCACATGCAGCACCTCCCCCCCCCTCATTAATAATCCAGAGCGAGTGACGTCCTCCACATTGGTGGGGGGGAGGGGCACCTCCTCCCTCCTCACGTGACACCAACTCCGGAACGCTACCGAGACGCAGAAGGATAAATAACGTCGTGATGAGCGAGGGATATGACACCAACGCCTGTGTTTACCGGCCTTGCAAACTCGCACACTAATAATGGGCGCAGTGAACATGACGTCACTGCCTGCCTTTCGCTTGAATATTTCGGGATTTACTGCAATACACCCAACCGCCATTGAGCTGGCTATAGGATGGCTAATCGCTATGTAACACCATTTTTGTTCCTGGGTAGTAAGTGTTATTTCCTAATTGCCTATGCCTTAAAAGTACAGAAAATGGCTATTATTATACCCCACAAACTTTGCTTTTGTGACCGAGACTTTACGTGAAGGAATGACACAAATGCACACCACGTGTTCTCATTGAAAATAGGTACATTTCAAAATATCACTGCCCTGGTCACAAAAACAAAGTTTGTGGGGAATAAGAGCCATTTTCTGTACTTTTGAGGCATAAGCAATTAGGAAATAACACTCACTAGCCAGGAACAAAACAAATAATAATTAGTTCCACAGCACTCATCGGCAAAACGAGAAAATAACAAATAGCTTGAATGAAGTGCTGTGCACGTCGGTTGTATAGGTACGCGCCACCCTTGCGTTCATCTTTGTTATTCAACAAATAAAACAATCGAATGGAAGTGATGAAAGCGCCCGAGCAAGGGGCGAGGGGGGGGGGGAGATTTCGCGATGGCACCGGCCGCCACTCACCGCGTCCTGGAAGCCGAACAGCACCACCTGCAGCTGGTTGATGGCGACGCTGTCAAAGTCCAGCTCCAGCTTGAGCGCCGAGATGGCGCTCGCCACGGCCTTGCGGTCGGGCGAGCGCATGTACTCGCGCAGGCACGCCATCAGCTGGGACACGTGCTGCGCCGTCAGCCGCGGCTCCTCCGCGCCCTGCGGCAGCGCGCGGCCGTGGCAGGAGCAGAAGTAACAGCAGCAACAACAGCAGCAGCAGCAGAAGTAACAGCAGCAGAAACAACAGCAGTAGCAGCAACAACAGCAGCAACAACAGCAGCAGCAGCAGAAGTAACAGCAGCAACAGCAGCAGCAGTAGCAGCAGAAGTAACAACAGCAGCAACAACAGCAGTAGCAGCAGAACAGCAGCAGAAGTAACAGCAGCAGCAACAGCAGTAGCAGCAGCAGAAGTAACAGCAGCAGCAGAAGTAACAGCAGAAGTAACAGCAGTAGCAGCAGCAGCAGTAGCAGCAGAAGTAACAGCAGCAGCAACGACAGCAGTAGCAGCAGAAGTAACAGCAGCAACAACAGCATTAGCAGTAGCAGCAGAAGTAACAGCAGCAGCAACAACAGCAGTAGCAGCAGAAGTAACAGCAGCAGAAACAACAGCAGTAGCAGCAGAAGTAACAGCAGCAGAAGCAACAGTAGTAGCAGCAGAAGTAACAGCAGCAGCAGCAACAGCATCAGCAGCAACAACAACAGCAGTAACAGCAGAAGTAACAACAGAAGCAGCAGCAGCAACAACAGAAGTAGCATCAGCAGCAACAACAACAGCAGTAGCAGCAGAAGTAACAACAGCAGCAACAACAGCAGTAGCAGCAGCAGCAGAAACAGCAGCAGTATCAGCAACAGCGGAAGCAGAATTAGCAGCGGTAGCATCAGTAGCAGGAGAAGCAGCAGCAGCAGCAGACACCGTCCAAGAGTCAAACATGCCGTGCGCCGCCAATGAAGGACTGCAGCACACCTACAGCGAGCTGCGAGTCCGGCCGTCTTTGTCTCTCCCAGTGGTGCCGGTGCCTACTCAGCGAGTGGTACGTAATCAGAGGGAGAATCAACAAGGGCGTGGTGATAGACTTGGCGGCGGGTGAGTGAGTGCTGGTGGTGATAGACTTGGCGGCGGGTGAGTGCTGGTGGTGATAGACTTGGCGGCGGGTGAGTGAGTGCTGGTGGTGATAGACTTGGCGGCGGGTGAGTGCTGGTGGTGATAGACTTGGCGGCGGGTGAGTGAGTGCTGGTGGTGAGAGACTTGGCGGCGGGTGAGTGAGTGCTGGTGGTGAGAGACTTGGCGGCGAGTGAGTGAGTGCTGGTGGTGATAGACTTGGCGGCGGGTGAGTGAGTGCTGGTGGTGAGAGACTTGGCCGGCGGGTGAGTGAGTGCTGGTGGTGATAGACTTGGCGGCGGGTGAGTGAGTGCTGGTGGTGATAGACTTGGCGGCGGGTGAGTGAGTGCTGGTGGTGATAGACTTGGCCGGCGGGTGAGTGAGTGCTGGTGGTGATAGACTTGGCGGCGGGTGAGTGAGTGCTGGTGGTGAGAGACTTGGCGGCGGGTGAGTGAGTGCTGGTGGTGAGAGACTTGGCCGGCGGGTGAGTGAGTGCTGGTGGTGAGAGACTTGGCCGGCGCGTGGACGCGGGCGCGGTGTTCACCTGCGCGACGAGGATGTCCCGCAGGTTGGCCGCCACGAGCTCCTGCTCGGCGGTGAGGATGCGGTGCAGCGTCGCCCGCCGCTCGCTGTCCTTGCGCAGCAGGAAGAGGCCCGGGTCGCGCTCCTCGGGGGAGGGGGGCGCGCTGTGGTCGTACGACGGCGACGAATCCTCGGGGAGTCTGCGGGCGACCCGGCGGGGGGCCCCGGTGGGGGGAGGGGGTAAGGCGGAGGGGGGGGCAAAGTGGCGATCGTCCATCGGCGTGCCCCACCGATAGCCACACGCACAGGGGGCAGCGACCGAGGGCCCGGAGACTTGCTCACCACGACGTTCGCTTCCAGTTGAAAACAACGGCAGGGAGGGGAGGGGAGTGCAGAGGAGGGTAGGGCAGGGGGCTGTGGGGCAGGGGGCTGTGGGGCAGGGGGGTGTGGGGCAAGGGAGGGCAGGGGAGGAAAGGGCAGGGCAAGGGAGGGCAGGGGGGTGTGGGGCAAGGGAGGGCAGGGGAGGAGAGGGCAGTGCAAGGGAGGGCAGGGCAGGTGCTCACCCCAGGAAGAGCGGGCTGCGAGCCCGAGGGTTGTTGTTGTTGTTGTTGAGGCGCCGCGGGCCCACCAGGGGGTCGGTGCGCGACTCCGACTCGGACGAGGAGGAGCCCCTCTCACTGCCCGTGCTGCTCGTGTCCACGTGGATCGCCACAGGCACCGACACGCTGCGGCCGTAGTCTGGGGCGGCGAGACATCGCGACGGTGAAGCCCACGCAACGTCCCTCCGTTCTCCCCTGGCATCGCTTCTACAGAGCCAGCATCTCTGTTCAAGACTGGAGGAGGAATCCGACCGGGCTCTGAAGCTCCACGTCCAGTAGGGGGGGGGGGCGCGGGTCAAGCAGGTCACACCGATATGGAGTGCAAAAGAGAGAAGAGGCGAGCAGCAGGCGATGACAGAGGTCACCGGAACGGGACAGCGTGAAGCCTCGTGCCCCGATCGCACGCGCTACCAGCGTTTCCCGGGGGGGGCGAGCCGTTCCCACGACGACCCCCCCCCCCCCCTCCCCGCGCCTCACCTGGCCCCTGGCGACTCTGCCCCTTGCTCCTGCGCGCCCTCCCACCACCCCCCGCCGGCGAGCGAAGGAACGCGTCGGCGAGCAGCTCGTCGGCCGCGGCGCGAGAGTCCGGCTCCGGCTGGAAGCAGCGCAGGATGAAGGCGCGGGCGTCTTCTGACATCGACTCGGGGATCTCCGGATGGATCTTGAACATCCCAACCTGCGCGGGGGGGGGGGGGGGGGGGGGGGGGGAGTCACGGACCGCCGCTCGTCGGCCGCCGCCACCGAAGACCGACGGCCGCTCGGCCCGGCGGGGGCTTTTGGCCCACGGGTGGACGCCCGGCGGCAGGCCGCGCGACCGCCGTCGGGGCCCGGTGCGGGCGAGCGAACGTCCCCGGTCGCCGTTCCCGCCCCGCCGCCTCTGCGCGCCGTGCCGGCCTTCGCCGGCGCCGCTCGCTAACCGCGGCTTGCCCACCCCCCCCCGTCGAGGCTACGCGGGGGACCTTGGTCTCCGCGTGCGGCTAGCGGCAGCCGCCGCGCGAGGAGATGGCTCCGCACGAGCGCCCGAAGCGCCGCAACATCGTGCGCCGCCCGGCCCTGTCCCGCCGGCGGAGCACGTGGCCTCCAAGTGCACCCAGCGGCGTGCACGCACCCTGAACCTCGTTCGCGCCGAACGTAGCCAACCGTGCCCATCGGATGTGCGGGCGGAAGGATAACAAAGAGCAGCGGTGACGTCGCCGCTGCTTATTGGCGAATGGGGGATGCTGTGTGTGGTTGTTGTTTGTTGTTGTTGTGGTTGTTGTTGTGGTGGTGGTGGTGGTGGTGGTGTCAGCCTATAACCTTGAACATAGCTGCCTGGGGCTCTCCCAGCTCGTAGAACGGGGGTTTCCCCGTGGCCATCTCGATGATGGTACAGCCCAGGGACCAGATGTCGGCGGGTTTGCCGTAACCACGTGGGCCCCTGTCGATGATCTCCGGAGCCATGTACTGCAGGGTTCCTGCCGACGCGCGAGACAAAGACAAAGACCCCCCCCCCGCCGTATAGCCTCAACAAACTTTTGGGGCAAGTGCAGTTAGGGAGCGCGCGTGGATTTTCTCCGGGAACTCCGGTTTCCTCCCGTATGTTTTGACACTCGTTAATTTGTCAATAGCAACTTGATGTATAGAGGAGCACAGAGCTTGGGCGGGGGGATTTGGTGCCAGTTCACTGCGTGGCTGTTGCTGCTGTCTCCCCCTTCATCCGTGGTTCCTCCTCCTCCTGGCGCCTCTTGAGTCGTCCTCTCTCTCCATGAGAGCGCGGAGCGAACACTGGCGTGTTTATCGCAGGAATGCCGCTGACGCCGGCACGCTCAGAAGAATCACGACACCACCATCACCACCAGAATTAACGTCACTGATTCCACCATCACCATTTTAGTTCGAAGGGCAACTGACAAGGCTGGCGACTTGTAATGTCCCTAAACCCTCACTTACACCACGAACTCACCTATACCCCCACTAATTTACTCACCCAACTGCACCCAACTCCACTCAACTCCACCCAACCCCACTCCACCCCACTCCTCCACCCAACCCATAAAGCTGTCCCTGAAAGGCTCACAGATGTCCCCGGACAACTGCCTCCCCAACAAGAGGACGCCGCTCCTAGGAAACCGAGGACAGGTGGCAACCCTCGGCGGCGGTGTCAATGTTGCAGGTCGGTTGCCACGTGGCCCAGAACCCAGTCGCACCCACAGCGTTGTGCGCGTGCGGTACCTGTGAACGTCTCTGTCGATGGATTGAGCCCTGCCAGCCTCTTGCTGGTACCAAAGTCCGATATCTTGAGCACTCCGCTGTACGTGTTGATGAGGACATTGTCCCCCTAAGCACGGGCATGGGGAGACAAAGACAAATACCGTATAGCCTTAACAGACTGGCCAGGGCAAGTCAGAAGAATATGTATTTACACTGGAGGAATCCGATGAGCTATAAAGCTCTTTATCACAGTGCACTTAGCGAGTAGCGTGGACACCGCCCCACCCGGCCTAGGAGGCGAGGCCTTCGCCCCTGCCGTGAGCCTGAACATGCATTGACACCGACTCACCCACCCATCCACCAACCGACCCAAACACACCCACCGAGCCACCGACCGACCCATCCACCCACCCACTCACCGAACCACCCACTCACCGACCCACCAACCCACCCACCGACCCACCCATGCACCTACCCACCCACTGACCCACCTGCCCAACAACCCACCGACCTTGATGTCCCTGTGCACGATCTGGTTCTCGTGAAGGTACTGGAGGCCCTCAAGGATCTGCTTGGTGTAGAAGGCGATGGTGGTCTCGTTGTCCTTCAGGGGTCCCCACTTGGACCGCAGCAGAGCAGAGAGGCTTCCTGCAGACGCCACGCACAGCCCACTCCCGAGTCCGCACGTCTCACGTCGTCCGCGTGCAGGCCTCTTGGTACATCTCACTAGGGGCCCCGTGAGTGGGGGGCCCCGTGAGTGGAGGGGGCTCCGCGCTCACAGTGACGAAGCTTACACCGAGGCCTGGGGCCTAGTCCTGCCAGTCAGCCTCCTCATTCTATTATGCCATCTGATGATCATCTTAACTGTTTTTATTCACTTTCCCGTTCTTTTTAAGAGCATTCATACAACATGTCTCTTTGTAAACTTTTAGTTTTGTATCAACTTACTTGACGTGGCCTGGAACCTTGTGGCACAAAAGGCACTCAATAAATACTGATATTTAGTATTATTATTATATCGTGGCAACCCTACAATTGGCAATCTCTCATTGACAACGCATTTCCCGAGTGTCTTTTTTCTTCTTCATCCTTATTATTATTATTATTACCACCATGAACGTTTTATTTATTATATTCATATGAATGTATTCTATTAACGAACGAATGGGGTTATTGTTTCTTGATTTCTAGATAAATAAAATAAATTAAGTGTGCGGTCATCATCGTCACCTCCGGGAACCTGCTCCATGAAGATTTTGAAGAAGCCCCCTTCGCTGACCGAGCCGAGGTACCGCACGATGTTGCGGTGCTTCAGGTGCTTGTGCAGAGCGATCTCCTCGTGCAGCGGCTGCGAGTAGCTGTGGCAACGCAGGACAAAGGCACCCCCCCCCCACGCACCCCGCGTATTGGTTGAGTGTGGGGCCGATTTTGTTGATCCTCGGCGAGAACTCGAAAGAGGAGGGGGCAGAGTCACGTTGGCAAAGAGTGCCCCCCCCGGAGGTGCACGGCGCGGGGCGGTAACTTTAGAGGCACTTTTGCGAGCCAACTGATTGGCTCACAACTGATTGGCTCACAAGTGACGGCATCACATTCATGCCTCGATGTAAGACAGAAGCAGGAGGATTTCTCCACGACTCTCTGGCTGTCCCCGCCTGATGTCACGGTACTCGAATTGTAAACGTTGTCGTGGATTTACTTTGCAACACACCCGGAAGCGTTCCGGTAGCTGCACTATACACTACACTATACTACACACTACACTATACTACACACTACACTATACACTAGTGCTGTACTAGTAACAAATTGGCCACGTTCTGTTTACGTGACAAACCTTACTCATTGGCTGTGTCGGGTGGTGGCGGGTTTAACGACACATTGATATTCACGGGATGTAACCCAAAAACCTCTATTATGGAGACATAACAGGGGCGGCCATCGGATTCGAACTGCGGACCTCTGCCGGTGCCGGTCTCCGTGTCTCGGCCGCGCCACACGGACGGAGCCGTGGTGTGGAGGTGGGGGGGGAAGACCCACCGGGCTCTCTCATAGGCTGGCTCACCGACTTGCTCACTGGCTCACTCACCGACTCGCTCACCAGCTCACTCACCGGCTCTCTCATAGGTTGGCTCACCGACTTGCTCACTGGCTCACTCACCGACTCGCTCACCAGCTCACTCACCGACTCGCTCACTGGCTGGCTCACCGACTTGCTCACTGGCTCACTCACCGACTCGCTCACCAGCTCACTCACCGGCTTTCTCACTGGCTCACTCACCGGTGGTCCTTCTCAGGGACCTCCTTGATGGCGATGCGGACCTGGTTGCTGAGGTCCCGGCCGGCGTACACCGTCCCGAACGTGCCCCGGCCCAGCACCACCTTCTCTTCGTTCTCATTGTAGTCGTAGTCCCACTAAGCCCACGCAAGACAAGCACAGACAAAGATCCCCCGTGCAGCCTTCGAGGGACCGTTGGGGCGAGCGCTGTTGAGCGAGCAGCGCCTACGAAGGCCGGCACGGCGCGCACGATGGGGCGGGGTGGCCAGCACCACGCCCGGGCCGCCCGTCGTCTCCCCAGTGGCGATGTTTACACACCGCGCCAGGTACTCGTTTGAGGTCGAGTCGAGCCACGGGAGGACCCGGAAGCGGTCGCGGTAATCGTCGCCGGGTTCGTGGGGCAGCGGCACCGCCGCGAGGGATCGTGCCGTGGCGCGCGTACCTCCAGCACGCCGCAGTCCACCTCGGCCTCCAGCTCCAAGCCGCGCTCTTCCATCACCGCCTTGGCCAGATCGTGGAACCTGGCGCACCACGACACACGCGGTTCGGGATAATCGTCGGCAAATCTTGGCGGTGATCGGGAATCCAGCTCGGGTGGCCCGGGTTTGTGGCGCGGCGCGCTAACCGGTGCTTCCTTTCACCAACCTGCCGCACTGAGTATCGGGACTCGTTCTCAGTGTTTTCGCAGTAGGGGAGGGAGGGGGGGGGGGTGCGATGTTGCCGTGTGTAATGTTGTTGCTGTTGAGCGATTCGTGGGTAATTTTGCAGCATTGTGATGTATTGGCCAATACATCGCAGGATGGATCGTAGGTAGGCCAGCCTAAATGTTGCTAACCGGCGAAGATGTTCAATTAGGGGGGGGTCCACGTATCGCAAGCGTAGGGAAGGGAGGGCATGATCGTGGCCGAGCAGACCCGAAGCTTCGTGTGGAGCGACAGGCCAAGCAGCTTCTACACAGCGTTACGCAACCGATGAAAAGATAATGCTGCCCGACTGATTCGGAGTGAGACCTCTGCTGTCAAAGCGGAGCCGGTCATGAGCACACTGCTCAGGTATGGAAAATGAAAACACACACACGCACACACACGCGTACACACGCACACACGCGCGCACGCACACACGCACACGCGCACACACGCACACGCGCACACACGCACACGAGCACACGGCCAACAATAAAAAAGGCAAAGCACCTCTTGGCTTGCGACTCGGACGAGAAGCAAATTTGGAAGTCGTCCGAGTTGCCGGAGACGTAGAGGAAGCAGCAGCGCTCGTCGCACTTGGAGATGCTGCGCACCGCCACAGAGCACAAGCCGGGCAAGCCGGGCAAGCCGGGCAAGCCGGGCCACACAACGAGCCTCACACATTTCACCGTTTTTTTTTCACAGACACAATCGGCCGTTTATTTTTTTTTATTTCTTAATGAGACAATCAAAACAGGTTACAATTACGGCTCGTGTCGCGATTTATCTCCCTCCAGCAATTCGATAAATTGTTCGGATTCATAATTGAGGTTTTGACCAAAAGCTGAACCACTACTTTGCGCCTTTGACTCTCACCTAACACCGCGGATGTCAGCGGCTTTGAAGTTCCACTCGTGAATTTTCTTCTGCGAAAGCAAAAAAAATAAACATGAAAGTCCACGTTGTGGAAAAAACAATCCTGACCACTTGCCAGGAGCCTCCATGACAAAGAAATGAAGACTTGCTCTTAAGTGAAATAAAAACAATTACAGGGACACCTCCTACTTAAGGTCGGGTTCCAGAGGTCTGTTCGTAAGTCGAACTTTTACTCCTGTCGATTAGAAATATGTCGTACGGCGTGTATACTAAACACGGGGAATGGCTTTAAAAGTTGTATAATCTCCTGTAGATGTAGATGCCACTGGTTCTTCATGTGGCATCTAGATGACATGCAGACAGGTTTGTTCGTATAACTCTGAAAGTTTGCAAATCGAATGTTCGTAAGTAGAGAAGTCCCTGTACGATGAAGCATCACACACAGCATCATCACAGACGACGTCATCATCATCATCATCACCCACAGCGTCATCACACACGACGTCATCATCATCACCCACAGCGTTACCACACACATCGGCATCATCATCACCCACAGCGTCATCACAGACATCATCATCACCCACAGCGTCATCACACACGATGTCATCATCATCATCATCACCCACAGCGTCATCACAGACGACGTCATCATCATCATCACCCACAGCATCATCACACACGACGTCATCATCATCACCCACAGCGTCATCACACACAACGGCATCATCATCACCCACAGCGTCATCACAGACGTCATCATCATCACCAACAGTGTCATCATACATGATGTCATCATCATCATCACCCACAGCGTCATCACAGACTACGGCATCATCATCACCCAGTGTCATCATACATGATGTCATCATCATCATCATCACCCACAGCATCATCACACACGACGTCATCATCATCATCATCATCACCCACAGCGTCATCACACGACGTCATCATCATCACCATCACCCACAGCGTCATCACACACGACGGCATCATCATCATCATCACCCACAGCATCATCACAGACGACGGCATCATCATCACCCACAGCGTCATCACACACATGACGTCATCATCATCATCACCCACAGCGTCATCACACACATGATGTCATCATCATCACCCACAGTGTCATCATACACGATGTCATCATCATCATCACCCACAGCGTCATCACACACGACGGCATCATCATCACCCACAGCGTCATCACACACGATGGCATCATCATCACCCACAGCGTCATCACACACGACGTCATCATCATCATCATCACCCACAGCGTCATCACAGGCGACGGCATCATCATCATCACCCACAGTGTCATCACACACGACGTTATCATCATCATCACCCACAGCGTCATCACACACAACATCATCATCATCACCCACAGCATCATTACACACAACGGCATCATCATCACCCACAGCGTCATCACACACATGACGTCATCATCACCCACAGCGTCATCACACACATGACGTCATCATCACCCACAGCGTCATCACACACGACGTCATCATCACCCACAGCGTCATCACACACATGACGTCATCATCATCACCCACAGCGTCACGGGCCACAGCGAAGCCCCGCGTTCACCGGCTGGGGGGAAGGGGAGACAGCCCTCACCAGGTCGCGGGGCTCAACGTGCCAGAGGGAGAAGGACTTCTCTTCCGCTTCACCGTTCACAGACACGTACGACGGCTGGTACACCTTGGAGCTCTCAAAGATCAGCACCTGTGGACACCGGGGGAGCGACTGATGGTGAATGTGCGTCCGCTAAACTTCTTCCGCAACGTGGGTAGTAGCCAAACCGCGCTCATCGGAGGTGCGGGGGAAGGACAACAAACTGAACACAAAAAGCAGTTCGGTAAAGAAGCGAGTTTGTCAGTCTAGATGATTTAAAAATGCACAGCTCCCAGCGGCTTCCTAATATCATAAGCAAGAGCGTTCCAGACGGCCGCAGAAGCGCATCTGAAAGCGCGCGATGCAGTGACCGTCTTTGTTTCGATGGCCAGCCAAATACGTATCAGTGACATGGTCAATCCACTGCTGGATGAAGGCCTCCCCAAGTCGCTGCCACCCCTTCACGATCTTGCGACGCGTCGTAACGGCGGTGAAGCCCGCACGCGTGTAATTGTAATTGTTATAATTATGGCACGGTGATTTTAAGAGCGCCGACGCGGAAATTATTTTAAGAAACACAATAAAAAAAAACATTGGCGCGGTCGGAAATTGACGAAACAGCGTAAACGGCGTAACGACCCAACCGAGAAGTCACCGCAGCGCACGTGGCCTAGAACCCACGGCCTAGACGCCAGCGCTGTGGAGGCAGCAGCAGCAGCGGCGACGGTTGGGGGATCACCGCAACGGACGGGGAGCGAATCTCCCTTCCCGCGGGCACCGAGGAGGAGCCGTACCCTGGGCTCGCCAGGAGCACGCGGAATCGCAAAAGTGCGGACTGCACCGGTTCCGTCTGCACGGGGATAGAGTGTTTCCCCCTCGCACGCGTGGGGTTTCTCCTGCTGCTCCGGTTTGCTTCCACACGTATAAACACTCGTCATTAATTGGCCGAGAACACCTTCATATGTAGAGGACCGCAGAGCTCGGGAAATTGTTGGCAGCGGACGGCGGCTCCTCGCCACTGTGTGGCTGCTGCTGCCTCCCTGCTTCCTGGTGCCTCCCGAGTCGCCCTCTCTCTCTCTGAGTCGCCCTCTATCTCTGAGTCGCTCTCTCTCTCTCTCTGAGTCGCTCTCTCTCTCTGAGTCGCCCTCTCTCTATCTCTGAGTCGCCCCCTCTCTCTCTCTCTGAGTCGTCCTCTCTATCTCTCTGAGTCGTCCTCTCTCTCTCTCTCTGAGTCGTCCTCTCTCTGAGTTGCCCTCTCTCTCTCTGAGTCGTCCCATCTCTCTCTCTGAGTCGCCCTCTCTCTCTCTCTGAGTTGCCCTCTCTCTCTCTGAGTCGTCCCCTCTCTCTCTCTCTCTGAGTCGCCCCCTCTCTCTCTCTCCGAGTCGTCCCCTCTCTCTCACTACGAGAGCGAGGCGCGGCCACTCCCACGCAAGACGAGCCGATCTCGTCGCTCCGTCTCACCGGGAAGCGCAGGGTGCTGCTCTGGCCCAGCGATCCGGCCGTGTTCATGAACTCGATCCAGAAGTCGAGGCGGCTCTGCAGGGCCACCGCCTTGGTACCCACGCCCCTCAGCATGTGCTGCAGGATCAGCTGTCCGTTCTGCACCACGGAGCGCACGTACCTACACGGAAACACAGGGGTCACCCTCCCGCCCACCCCGCACCCCGCAGCCTTCAACGGAGCGTCGAGGGCAAGCGCCGTTTAGAGGAGCGAGCGGCACGGGCAGCACCTACCACGAAGGAGGCCGGCACTGTGGCAGCATGGACCGCCGTTGTCTCCCCGGTGGGGATGTTTGCGCACGGCGCCAGGTTCTCATTTGAGGCCCGAGTCGATCCTGGCGGAGGCCCGGGACCGGTGGAGGTAATCGTCGCCCAGTGGCGGAAATCGAACTCGGGTCGCCGGGTTCGTAGCGCGGCGCGCCCTACGGCTACGCTACCGCTCCCCGCATAACCACGCGTGCACACGTCACGCGTATAGGCACGTGCGTACGTAGATAAATAAATACATAAACCATAACAGCCATTAGCAACAGGCTGTTGAGGGCAAGTGCGGTTAGTAGCGAGTCGCTGAGTCTACGGAGGCCGGCACTGTGGCACACACAGAGGGGGTGGGTGGGGTGCAGCACCACGCCCGTCCCCCTAGCAGTGGTTTGTTTGTATTGGCTACAGGTAAACAGACAATGGGCAATTAAAATATATCTTCGACGTGGACCTAGTTGCACAATAGAAACCTGGTTACAGCAAAATAATAACAAGAATAATAATGACACAAATGTACGTGGTCGAGTTACGCATGGCCAGGGCGTTCATCGACATGACGCAAATCGGCATAAAATACACGAGGCTCATAGGACGCTTCGTATACACAAAGACACACACACACAAACACGCGTGCATGCACAACAACAACCGCCATTCGCCACTAAGTGGCTGTGACGTCACCACGACGCTTGTGCCAGGCCATGTGCACCTTGAGGCCACGTGAAGGGTTGAACGTCCACTGGCAGGAGGTCACGGGGCAGACCCAGGTGCCACGGGTCGACTGACTAAGATGACTGAAATGACTGGTTGATGCACCACCTGTGCCCCCTACTGTGCCAACCTGCTGTGCTTTAGCCACCCGGCGCTCTGCTCGTTGTTGTGAGCGTCGCTCCTCCGCCCTCCGTTGTTGTTGGAGGGCGACTGCCTCCAACTGCCCAGCAGTATCCTTCACGAGCCTCCTTCACAGAGGCCGATCTTGACGCCGCTGGTACCAGTCATCGGCAAGTCCACTCAGCTCCACGTCCTCCTGTACCACGTCACTCCATCTCGTCTCTAGCCCGTGCTGCGCCCGTTTAGCCCCCTCGATCCGGCCGAACAAAAGCTGTTTCGGCATGCGGTGGCTGGGCATACGGGCTACATGACCCTGCCAACGCAGCCTTGCCTGCCGGAGGAGCTCACCGATGGGACCTTGCCCAGATCTTTCAAGGATTTGTGAGCTCCTCACACAATCCAGCCTGGTTAAACCCAGGATGGATCGTAGGCAGGCTAGCCTAAATGTTTCTAACCGGCGAAGATGTTCCATTAGGAGGGTCCACGTTTCGCAAGCGTAGAGAAGGGAGGGAATGACAGTGGCCGTGAAGACCTGAAGCTTAGTGCGGAGCGACAGACCAGGTAGCTTCCACACAGCGTTACGCAACCGATGAAAAGATATTGCCGCTCGACTGATTCGGAGTGAAAACTCTGCTGTTAAACTGGAGCTGGTCATAAGCACACTGCCCAGGTATGGGAAACTCTCCACTCTCTCCACAACTGCCCCATCACCGATTGGGAGTTGTGGGGGTGGAGTGTCCGATGGTACAAATACCCAGGCAGGTGTTTAGTTTTGGTGGGGCTGATGGTAAGGCCCCATCTCTTAGTGGCACGTTCCAGTCTCAGCAGCAGCGTCTCCAACTCCTCCTCTGAATGAGCAGCTATTACCAAATCATCGGCATACATAACGTGGTTGAGCAATAGGGAGCCATCCCTTGACCGCACCCCAGGCATCGATCAGCCTCCCATTACATCTGTACCAAATAGAGATTCCCCCGGTACAGCTATTGAAGGCTTCACGAACTACGTGGTCAAAATAGATGTTAAATAATGTGGGAGCCAGAGGACATCCCTGTCGCACTCCAAGGTGTACAGGGAATGGCTCTGACTCCCGGCCACGTAGTTTTACCTGGGCCCGCTCACCATCATGAAGGTCCTTAATGATCGTGAGCAGAGGGTCAGGGACTCCAAAGCACAAAGAACAACCCAGAGCCCAGGCCTACTGATGGTATCATAGGCCTTGATCAGGTCAATAAAACAGAGATGTAGGTCTTGCTGGAATTTCCTACACCTCTGCTGTAGCAGACGGAGAGAAAATATGGCATCTGTGCAGGACCGCCCTTTCCTGAAACCGCATTGGGGCTCCGCAAGCCTCTCCTCAGCGTGCCTGGCAAGGCGATGTTGAATAAACCTTGCCAGGACCTTTCCCGGCACACTGAGGAGTGAGATGCCCTTGTAGTTGTTACAGTTTGTGCGGTCCCCCTTCTTAAAGAGGGGGACCACCAGGGCATCATTCCAATCCTGCGGAACCCGTCCAGTGGTCCAGACTGTTATGATGTCATATAGGGCAGTCTGTGCACAAACGCCACCCTCCCTCAGCATTTCGCTTGGGAGATCATCTTTGCCCGGTCCCTTTCCTGGTCTCAGACTCCGGATCGCCTTCAGTACTTCCTCAACAGATGGCACCTCAGCCAGCCACTCACAGGAGGTGACTTCCTCCAATATTTGAGGCACCGCAGCCTCAGCAGGGTCATCCCCACTTTGTACCACGATGTTTTCCTGGCTGAGGGATTTCCCCTTCCCCAGGACCTCACAGAAATGCTCAGCAAATCTGCAAACCTATTCCTGGGGGTCGGAGATTGGATCACCGTTTTTCCCCTAATGATGGTAATAGGTGTGGCGCTGCAGGTTACTTTTTTGATGGAGTTAAATAGAGATTTGTGATCGCGGGCCACTGAGCCAGACTCCAACTCCTCAGCAATCCGCGACCACCACCCATCCTTGCAGCGCCTCACGGCTCTCCGAACCTCCGAGCGAAGGCTGCGGTAAGCCTCCTCATTCTCTGACGTGGGATTCTGTAGCCGATGACAGTGGGCCTGTCGCTTTTTCTCAACTATCCTGAACACCTCCTCTGTCAGCCAGGTTTTCTGGGGAGGTCTGGATCACGTACACAAAGCAGCCATTGCAGCTGCATGAGCCACAGTCCTAAACCTCGCCCATTTACCCTCGACATCAGGAGGAGTGGGGGACGATGCTAACCCCAGCCGCAAGCGATGATGAAATTCTCGCTTGCAACTTTCATCAGATAACTGAGACCAGGCCACTTTAGGTTGGAATGGGGTCCTGGGTGTACACCCACCACCGGAGTGGAAGAATGGCAGGCACATCTTACAGATGACAAGTCGATGGTCAGAGGGCAGATCAGCTCCACGGTAGGTCCTGGTGTCAAGGACATGGGCTCGCATCTGCTGGTCCGTCACTATGTAGTCCAGCAGATGTTCTTGCTTTGACCCGGCATGCATCCATGATGTTGTGTGGATGCGCCGATGCCGGAACAGCGTGTTAGTAATTACAAGCCCACGGGCTGCACAAAAATCTAACAGCCTCCTACCGTTGTTATTGGGCTGATCTGGCCCATGCCATCCAATCACTCCAGACCGGGTGCCAGCATCATGACCAACTCAGGCTTTAAAGTCACCCAACAAGATGACTCTATCCCGAGGGGCCACTTTAGCCAGCACTTGTGACAGGAGGTCATGGAAGGCAGGAGGTCATTGTGGGTGTTTGACATCTCCCCTATACACACGTACACACACATACGTACACAAAACAAAGACCACCATACAGCCTTAACAGACTGTTGGGACAAGTGCTGTTAGCGAGCACGCACACACGTACACACATGCACACACAAACACACACGGTCGGTGTCAAACAGCACCGAGGCCGGCACGATTGCCAACAAAGACCACAAAACCACTTCACAGTAAGCCGGCCGAGCAGAGCGACCAACTGCACGCGCACGTGGGAGGAGACGCCCGGTCCACGAGCGAGCAGCTCGCGGGGGATAGCGGTGGCGGCGTCGGGCTGGGGGGGCCGTGGGGGGCCGGGGGGCACTCACCAGGGCGGGGGGTGCAGGCGGTAGAGCTTCTCGGCCGCCTGCGTGGCCTTGGCGTGATCTCCGGCCAGGAGGCTCACGGCCATGAAGAGGCCCACGTCCCAGTAGCTGGACAGCTTCTCCAGGCTGCCCTTGCGGCCCAGCAGCGAGTTCAGCTTCATGCCTGCGCGAGCGGCCAACGAGCCAGGGGGCGAGAGTGGGGTCATCATCATCATCATCTTCTCCTCCTCCTCGTCCCACTCCTGACTCCTGCCTTCTCCTCGCCGGCGCTCGCGCGCCCGAGCTGCGTGGCGGGTGGCGGCTTGCGCGCGTGCCACGCCATCCGGCAGCGCTGTGGAGGCAGTGGCGGCGCGGGCGTTGGTGCCCTCGAATAAACGTGGCAAGGGAGAGAGAGAGAAGATGAATGCCAAAGCTGGTCTCTCTCCCAGCATCTAGGGGAGATGTCAGACGGCCACAATGACCTTCGCTGCGACGCAGAGAGACTCCCCGAGCAAAAGGCCAACTCCGCGGTGGGCGAGGCGGCGGCGGTGGCGGTCGAGCGGCACCCCGCCAGGCGGAGAACGCAAAAATCGCGGCTCGACGGCAAATCCTTCGATCCGGTACACGATAGACTTCACTTGCTGTTTCGCTCTCGACGTGCGTCCGTGTCGCGATACGCGTGTCCGGCCCGGGCGGTGGCGGCGGCTACGCTGCTGCTGCTGCTGCACGTGACTGCTGCCCATAACCCGGCGGCGGTTGGTGGATCGCCGCACAGACGCTGGCGAAACTCCCCCGTTGGCGTGGGAGACGTGCCCTGGGGATTCAGAGCCCTCTCGGTGCAAGGAGGACCCTTGTCTCCTACACCGGGCGACGCAGCTGCACTTCCATTTAACAGCCCGTTCCTCCGTACGGATCGCTTTGATGTTGTTGTTGAATCACGTATCTCCTTGCAAAGCTATCTGGGTAGCTGGCAAAACGGGATATTCCGTGTAACATATAAACATCGCTTGATTGATTGAGTGGGCGTGTGGTTGAGTGAGTTTGTGAGTCCGTGTGTAAGCAAGCGCTTGAATGAGAGGGCGAGTGGGTTGGCGATCGAGCGAGTTAGGCAGTGTGTAAACGGAGGAACTGATGGATCGAACGAGTGAATAAATACAGGCACCTATCTTGCGTAGCTCCGGGGAGCCCTCAAAGTCTTGTCCGGACGCGATGAGCAGAGACGCCAAATGAATCCCGGAGTAGAGGCTCGGCTCCACGTCAAACGCCTTCCGATACCTGAACAGACGCACCAACACAAAGATCCCCCCCCACGTGTAGCCTTTAGCAGGCTGTTGGGGCGAGCGCTGTTAGCGAGCGCCACACCTATGAAGGCCGGCACTGTGGCACACGAGGGGGTGGATGGGGCCAGCACCATGCCAGGCCGCCTTTGTCTCCCCAGTGGCGATGTTTACACATCGCACCAGGTACTCATTTGAGGCCGAGTCGACCTAGGGGAGGCCTGGGATCGGTTCAGATAATCGTCACCGGTGTTGGCCGTGAGCGGGAATCGAACCCGGGTCGCCGGGTTTATAGCGCGGCACGCTCACCAATACACCACCGCTCCCCACTTATATACACACACACACATTGATCCAGTATACAACACAACAAATGTCCAAGATCAGTTCAGATATCACACTCGCCCCGGACAACTATAAACTGAATGCGTTCGTCAATAACCCTGCGAGGCCTTGAAAGGAAACATTACGGGCAATGACCCAACTTCCCCGTACATCACGCGCAGAGACGCCAGACTGACAGAGTGAGATGAGTTGGAGGGCCACACTCGATCACTCCACGGGGCCCCGAAGAGAATTATAATCGGGGGAGAAAAAAAAACCCCAACGCTTTCGCCACCGACGTCAGCCGCGGCCGGGAATGGAACTCGTGTTCGTGGATGTTCGTGGCGCTCGACTGCCATGCCCCGCGGGACCCAGGGAGATCCGCTGCCCCCCCCCCCCCCGGGAGGTTCCGCTAGACCCCCCCCCCCTCCCCTCTCACCACTCGAGGGCGCTGTCGCGGCTCTCCGTGTCGCTGCAGCCCGAGTCCATGAACTTGTCCTTGTAGATGCGACCGCAGAGGCACAGCATGTCGGAGGGGGGCTGCTCACAGCCCTCCACCACCTGACGCATCACCGACAGCGCTTTCCCGCGGTCGCCCACGCTCCCGCGTCTGGACACGAGCGTGGCGGTGGCGGCGGCGGGGGACACGCGTCGCGGAGTCATCGACACGCGTCGCGGAGTCATCGACACGCGTCGCGGAGTCATCGACACGCGTCGCGGAGTCATCGACACGCGTCGCGGAGTCATCGACACGCGTCGCGGAGTCATCGACACGCGTCGCGGAGTCATCGACACGCGTCGCGGAGTCATCGACACGCGTCGCGGAGTCATCGACACGCGTCGCGGAGTCATCGACACGCGTCGCGGAGTCATCGACACGCGTCGCGGAGTCATCGACACGCGTCGCGGAGTCATCGACACGCGTCGCGGAGTCATCGACACGCGTCGCGGAGTCATCGACACGCGTCGCGGAGTCATCGACACGCGTCGCGGAGTCATCGACACGCGTCGCGGAGTCATCGACACGCGTCGCGGAGTCATCGACACGCGTCGCGGAGTCATCGACACGCGTCGCGGAGTCATCGACACGCGTCGCGGAGTCATCGACACGCGTCGCGGAGTCATCGACACGCGTCGCGGAGTCATCGACACGCGTCGCGGAGTCATCGACACGCGTCGCGGAGTCATCGACACGCGTCGCGGAGTCATCGACACGCGTCGCGGAGTCATCGACACGCGTCGCGGAGTCATCGACACGCGTCGCGGAGTCATCGACACGCGTCGCGGAGTCATCGACACGCGTCGCGGAGTCATCGACACGCGTCGCGGAGTCATCGACACGCGTCGCGGAGTCATCGACACGCGTCGCGGAGTCATCGACACGCAACGGCCGGTCATTTCTCTTTGGTCACGGCCGACGCGATTTTCTGCCCCAAATGGATCGCAATCGGGGAATCTTTCAAGCATTCATCCTGGAAGGAGGAATCCGATGAGCCGTGAAGCTCTTTTTCACGGATGTCCCGTCGGGGAGCACACGGGGGTCAGCGAGATGCATCAACAAACAACGCACGAGGCGATACAAGTGCAGGCTAGAGGTAAACACGTCGCTGAACATTAATAAATATACATATAAAGTATTCGAATACGGATTGCACAGGTACATGAAGTCCTGCCAATTTGGCGAACACAAAATGCAAGGTTGTGGCAAGGCAGAAAAACAACACCAGCAAGAAGAGTCCCAGCCCACACCAAGACAACACCGCACAGTCCCCTCAGTAGAGTTGCACGTAAACACTGAACTATCGATACGGCCAGAGGTCAGACGCGGACGTTCCAACCGCAATGCGGTGCCACCGACGGGACAGCGCTCGCACGCTCGCTCTCGACGAGGGGAGAGAACGAGGAAGACTCGGAGGACGACTCAGAGAGAGAGGGGACGACTCAGAGAGAGAGAGGACGACTCAGAGAGAGAGAGAGAGGACGACTCAGGGGTGCCAGGAGGAACCACGGACGAGGAGCGGGAAGGCAGCAGCGGCGACAGCACCAGCAGCCACGCGGTGAAACCAGCAACAATTGGCCAAGCTCTGCGGTCCTCTAACTATTAAGGTGTTTGAGAGTATTTGGCGACTGATATAGATTTCCACGTGATAAGCCACTTCGTTGTGCTGTCATTTGTGCTCCCCAGGTGGTTTCTGAGCTATGTAGCTCAGTGGGCCTTACACCTGCTAAAATAAAAACTATTTTTAGTTTAGTTATCGGCTAATTAATGAGCGTCTATACAGGTGAGAGGAAACCCAGAGCACCTGGAGCAACACAACACGCGTGCGATGGGGAAACACTGTATCCCGTACAGAAGGAGCAGGAGGAGTGACGACAGTGGTGGTAATCATCATCATCATCGCCATCGTCATCACAGTCGTCATTCATTATCGACGTTATCGTCGTTATCGTCGTCATCATCGTCTTCATCATAGTCATCTTAATCGTTGTCATCGCCGTCTTCATCATCGTCATCATCGTCATTATTATCATCGTCGTCGTCATCCTCATCATCATCACCATCACCGTCATCGCCACCACCTCCTCCGGCGCACAGGCCCGCCGGTGCGGCTGCACGCACCTGTTGAGGGCGAACGCGTAGTGGAACTTGATGTTGTTCTGGTTGGCCAGGTCGCAGGTGGGCAGAGCGTCCAGGGTCTCCACCAGCTTCACCATCGAGTCGTAGTCCTGTGGGCCGCGCGGCCAGCCAAGCCGAGCCAGTCAGCATCTCCCGGCCACACGACGACCTCACCACCCGCAGTGCCACCGCCGGCACGGCACGAGGGGGAGGGTGGCTAGCGCCACGCCCGACCGCCTTTGTCTCCCGAGCGAGAATGTTAATGAGCACCGCACCAGGCGCTACTCATTTGAGGCCGAGTCGACCTAGGGGGAGGCCCGGGATCGGTTCAGATAATCGTCACCGCCGTTGGTGGCCGTGAGCGGGAATCGAAGGTCGCCTGGTCTGCTGCGCCACCGCTCCCCACACGCAATGCAGGACGACACTCCGATGAGGGGGGGGGGGGTGGCCAGCACCGTACGTCCGCGCCTACTTCACCGCGCCGGCGAACGCGAGACAGCGGCGCAAGTGAAATTAATCCACCGTACTCATCGCCGACCATCGGTCGACCCACGCTTGCCGAGCGGGGCCGGCGGCGGCGGCGGCGGCGGGGGTCATCCCAACTCGACTCCGGGTTGCGAACTCGCCGGCTCCAAGGGGCGTGCCACACAAGCACACAGGAAGGGAGGTGTGGGCGGGGGGCGGGCGCGAGGAACGAAGCGTCGCGAGGAGTCCGCCGTCTCGGATCGCGGAGTCGCAGGAACGCGCGGGGAGACGCGGGGACAAAGCCGTCACGCGCACGGTGGGCGGGGAGCGGGGGGGGGGGGGGCTGGGGGTTGGCTCACGCGGGCGGTCAGACGCACGCACGCAGGCCGCACAAAGGAGGAGGAATCCCGTGTTTACCCAACAGAGCGTTGTCGTGGCGAGCGCGGGGGCCGGTGGCGAGAAGCCATCACGGGCCGCACGAAGCGGTCGCGCACCAGACGCAGACACGCAGACACGCAGACACGGACACGCAGACACGGACACGCAGACACGGACACGCAGACACGCACGCAGACACGGACACAGACACGCACACGCTCACGCCCATTCACAGACGCGCGCAAAAATAAAGACAAAGATTCCCCCCCTCATAGCCTTCGCAGACTATTTGGGCAAGTGCTGTTAGCGAGCAGCACCTATGAAGGCCGGCACGGCACACGAGGGGGTGGGTGGTCAGCACCGCGTCCGGCCGCCTTTGTTTCCCCAGTGGCGATGTTTACACATCGCACCGGGTGCTCATTTGAGGCTGAGTCGACCTAGGGGAGGCCCAGGACCGGTTCAGACAATCGTCATCGGTGTCTCCCCCAGCAGCGATGTGTTAAACACCGCACCAGGTGCTCATGTGACTCCGGCAAGACGGGCCGCGGCCAGCGCAGGTCTCCCGCCGCGCCGGGCTAGGTGCACCTGCAGGTCGCGGTAGGAGAGCAGCAGGTTGATGACGATGTCGGGGCTCAGCAACTCGGTGGTGTCGAGGCGCGAGCGGATGTGCGCCAGCTCCCGTGCCAGCTCCTCCCCCTGGTACTTGCCGCGGGCCCGGCGGATGTCACCCAGGATCGCGTCCTTGCAGAGGACGCTGCGCGGGGCGACACGGCCATCACGAGAACCGCAGACTCGTCACACAGAGACCGACAGACTCGTCACACAGAGACTCACAGACTCGTCACACAGAGACTCATAGACTCGTCACACAGAGACCCACAGACTCACCACACAGAGACCCACAGACTCATCACACAGAGACCCACAGACTCACCACACGAAGACCCAGACTCGTCACACAGAGACTCATAGACTCACCACACGAAAACCCACAGACTCGTCACACAGAGACCCATAGACTCGTCACACAGAGACCCACAGACTCACCACACAGAGACCCACAGATTGGTCACACAGAGACCCACAGACTCACCACACACGGAGACCCACAGACTCACCACACGAAGACCCACAGACTCGTCACACAGAGACCCACAGACTCACCACACAGAGACCCACAGACTCATCACACAGAGACCCACAGACTCACCACACGAAGACCCAGACTCGTCACACAGAGACCCATAGACTCGTCACACAGAAACCCACAGACTCGTCACACAGAGACTCATAGACTCACCATACACGAAGACCCACACTCACCACACAGAGACCCACAGACTCGTCACACGAAGACCCACAGACTCATCACACAGAGACCCACAGACTCACCACACGAAGGCCCACAGACTCGTCACACAGAGACCCATAGACTCGTCACACACAGAGACCCACAGACTCACCACACGAAGACCCACAGACTGGTCACACAGAGACCCACAGACTCACCACACGAAGACCCACAGACTGGTCACACAGAGACCCACAGACTCATCCCACGAAGACCCACAGACTCATCACACAGAGACCCACAGACTCACCGCCCACTCACCTGCTGGTGACCTGCACGTCCTGCAGGATCTGCTGGAGGCGGTCTGCGAGCGGCACGCACAGCGCCCCGAGGCCCGGGTCCCAGTTGAGGTGGTGCAGGGCGAGCGAGGTGCGACGCAGGGCGCCCCCCTCCTGGTCGCCCAGCACCGGCGTCACCGCCACGCCGTGCGCCGTCGCCGCCGAGTACGGCACGAACGTGCAGTTCCCGCACGACGCCTGCCAAGGGCAAAGGCCGCCCGGATTAGCCTCCGACCTTTCCCCTCCGTCGGCACATCCGCCGCCGTCGCCGCCGCCGATGGCGCTGCTGCTGCCGCAGGAATTACAAATCGGCCCACGTTTTTCTTAACCCTTTCCCGTTCCGATGACGTACGTGTCCGTGCGTGTACGTCATCAGTTTATCTTCTGATTCCGTTCCAATGACGTACGTGTACAGTCAGTAGGCGTGCATCATCGGAACGGAACAGGAAGAATATTTAAATCATAAACTAACTTTATCGGTACCGAGGCTCCCACAAGGCCATACGGGAGGGCGTGTGGCACAGTTTGGTGCCAGATGTTGTCGAGGTGTGGTCGTGTCACTACAGTTCGCTGCGGTGAGTACGATGTCTTTAAACACGGCGGCGCTACGCCTCTCTCGATAAAATTAAGGCCGAGCCACTTGCGCGTTCCGAGATCAGCGGTGAATCGGACTCCGCCCCCTGCAACTTGCAGACGTCTCGGAGCGGGAATGCGGTTATAATTGTTGCGCGTCAGATGGAGGAGGGTGTGCGATACAACATTTTACTCACGCGGCGATCCGAGCAGAAGATCAATTGTGAATCGTGAGCCTCTACCAGACGTGTGTACACACAAACACAAAGATCCCCCATGCAGCCTCTAGCAGACGTGTGTACACACAAACACAAAGATCCCCCATGCAGCCTCTAGCAGACGTGCGTACACAGACTAAGTTTTCGATTCCCGCTCACGGCACAACACCAGCGACGATTATCTGAACCGGTCGTGGGCCTCGCCTAGGTTGGCTCAGCCTCAAATGAGTACCTGGTATACGATGTGTAAACGTTGCCGCTAGGGAGACAAAGGTGGCCGAGCGTGGTGCTGCCTACCCATCCCCTCGTGTGCCGTGCCGGCCTTTATAGGTGCTACCCGCTAACAGCACTTGCCCCGACAGTCTGTTAAGGATACACGGGGGACCTCTGTCTTTGATACCTTGAGAGTGTCGGGGTCGGAGCCGCTGTACAGAACGATGTTGTTGGTCATGTCGAAGCTCTCGCGGACTCCCAGGTGGTAGAGCAGCGAGGGCTGGTGGAAGAAGTCACTCATTTCCACCACGGCCACATCTGTTGCACCGCAAGAGATGGACAAACACGCACGCACGCACACACACACACGCACGGTTACACGCGCATACAAAGACCCCACCCCCCGTCACCACATAGCCTCAACAGGCTGCTGGGGCAAGTGCTGCTAGCGAGCAGCTACGAAGGACGGCACGGCACACGAGGGGGAGGGTGGCCAGCACCACGCCCGGCCACCTTTGTCTCCCCAGTGGGAATGTTTATGACACACCGCACCAGGTAATCATTTGAGGCTGAGTCGACGTAGGGGAGGCCCAGGACCGGTTCAGATAATCGTCACCGCTACACAACCGCTCCCCATGGTTACACACACACAGACACCAACACAGACACCCACACACACTCAAATACACAAAGGTCCCCCTTGTGTGGAGGTGCACAGAATGCGGTTGGCGAGCAACGGCAATGAAACTGAAGACCCTGCATGGCGTTCACAGCAACGCCGAGGTTTCGTTCTGGCTGTGCCTCCACGCTGCACGCAAACATCACCCAAACATCACTTAAACATCACACAAACATCACACAAACATCACACAAACATCACACACACATCACTTAAACATCACACAAACATCACACAAACATCACACAAACATCACTTAAACATCACACAAACATCACGTAAACATCACACAAACATCACGCAAACATCACGCAAACATCACACAAACATCACGCAAACATCACACAAACATCACGTAAACATCACACAAACATCACACAAACATCACACAAACATCACACAAACATCACACAAACATCACGCAAACATCACGCAAACATCACACAAACATCACACAAACATCACACAAACATCACACAAACATCACGCAAACATCACGTAAACATCACACAAACATCACACAAACATCACGTAAACATCACACAAACATCACACAAACATCACACAAACATCACACAAACATCACACAAACATCACACAAACATCACACAAACATCACACAAACATCACACAAACATCACGTAAACATCACGTAAACATCACGTAAACATCACACAAACATCACACAAACATCACGTAAACATCACACAAACATCACGTAAACATCACACAAACATCACACAAACATCACACAAACATCACGCAAACATCACACAAACATCACACAAACATCACACAAACATCACACAAACATCACACAAACATCACACAAACATCACACAAACATCACACAAACATCACACAAACATCACACAAACATCACACAAACATCACACAAACATCACACACACATCACACACACATCACTTAAACATCACACAAACATCACACAAACATCACACAAACATCACTTAAACATCACACAAACATCACGTAAACATCACACAAACATCACACAAACATCACACAAACATCACACAAACATCACACAAACATCACACAAACATCACACAAACATCACACAAACATCACGTAAACATCACGTAAACATCACGTAAACATCACACAAACATCACACAAACATCACGTAAACATCACGTAAACATCACACAAACATCACACAAACATCACGCAAACATCACACAAACATCACACAAACATCACGTAAACATCACACAAACATCACACAAACATCACACAAACATCACACAAACATCACACAAACATCACACAAACATCACACAAACATCACGCAAACATCACACAAACATCACGTAAACATCACACAAACATCACACAAACATCACGTAAACATCACGTAAACATCACACAAACATCACACAAACATCACACAAACATCACACAAACATCACACAAACATCACACAAACATCACACAAACATCACACAAACATCACACAAACATCACGTAAACATCACACAAACATCACACAAACATCACACACACATCACTTAAACATCACACAAACATCACACAAACATCACACAAACATCACTTAAACATCACACAAACATCACGTAAACATCACGTAAACATCACACAAACATCACACAAACATCACACAAACATCACACAAACATCACACAAACATCACACAAACATCACACAAACATCACACAAACATCACGTAAACATCACACAAACATCACACAAACATCACACACACATCACTTAAACATCACACAAACATCACACAAACATCACACAAACATCACTTAAACATCACACAAACATCACGTAAACATCACGTAAACATCACACAAACATCACACAAACATCACACAAACATCACACAAACATCACACAAACATCACACAAACATCACACAAACATCACGCAAACATCACACCCCTGCTGCTGCTGCTTTTACTGCTGCTGTTGGTGACAGTGGTGATGGGCGGTGTTTCGCAACATCCCGGATGTGCGAACACTGGAACATCTACGCTTTTGCTCCGTGTACTAAAGGCGAAGATTAACATCCAGCGCGGTGCAGTCGGCCAAATACCCTCTAGAAGGGCGCCTTCCAATGGAGGGCCCTCCTGCCAGCGGTGGCGTGAGCACAGCAAGTGCAGGGGCTGCGCCTTTATCCACCTTTTCCTTACATAATAAGGAACAAAACAGTTCAAAAGGTCAACTTTGACCCGTTCCAACTTTTACTCGAATTTTCATTTAAATCAAGTGGCGTCTTCTTCCTCCTCCTCCCGCTACTCCCCCCCCCATTCCCCCTCTCTCACCACGCACCGGCGCCCCGTGACGTCACTTCTGTCAGCATCTCAAGGCTTCTCTCCCTTCTATTTACCCTCCCGCGCCTCTTAAGCGTCCCTTGTTCAGCATCAACCTGCAAGTGACGAACGGGTGGACTAAACCCAAGATCTCCGCCGTTCCGCGAGCAAAGTGGCGCAAGGTGACATTCGAGTGTCCAAACCCAAGGGATTACCGCGTGCTGCGAGCGGACAGGTGGAACGGATTACGTTGTAACCCCAAGCCGGCGGGATTTCTTTTTGTCGCCCCCGAATGGACCCGGCGACGTGACGAAGCCCGCCGGTCATCCGAGCTGAGCGCCGGGGACTCGGATTGCGCGCGGCAAACAGGGACTCCCATTGTGCCACGCGCACACACTTGGCGGCTCGCTCGCGGCGCCAACGCAACGCTGACATCAGCACCATCGCCGCCGCCGCCGCCTCCTCCTCCTCCTCCTCAATACCCTCCACCCCGCCCCTTGTTCCAAGAGGCCGGAGCAGACAGAACGCATCACGTGGGCGCGAGTGACTCGGCACCGAAGGCCAAGACCGCCACCGTGCAGCCTTCAACAGGGGCAAGTTGCGAGCAGCGGCGACCAAGGCCGACATGGAGCGCCACGCAGGGGGGGGGGGTTTGGTGGGCGGCACCACGTACGGACCGCCTTTGTCGCCCCAGTGGAGATACGCATCGCACCAGGTACCAATTTGAGGCCGAGTCGACCTAGGGGAGGGCGCCCAGGACCGGTGCAGATAATCGTCGCTGGTGTTGGCCATGAGCCGGGTGCGTAGCTAACCGCAACGCTACCGCTCACTCCAGTTGGTATGTGTGCACACGCATACACACAAAGACAAAGATCCCCCGTGTAGCCTTAACAGACTGTTGGGGCAAGTGCTGTTAGCGAGCACCTATGAAGGCCGGGACGGCACACGAGGGGGTGGGTGGCCAGCACCACGCCCAGCTGCCTTTGTCTCCCCAGTGGCGATGTTTACACACCACACCAGGTACTCATTTGAGGCTGAGTCGACCTAGGGGAGGCCCAGGACCGGTTCAGATAATCGTCACCGATGTTGGTCGTGAGCGGAAATCGAACTCGGGTCGCTAGGTTTGTAGCGCAGCGCGCTAACCACTATGCTACCGCTCTCCACACACATCCACACACACTTGTGTGTGTGGATGTGTGTATTTGCGTGTGCATGGGGATCAGGAGTGCAATGGTTAGCACTCTGCGCTCTTAACCGTTCTGAACCAGAGTTCAATTCAATTCCTGCTCGCGGCCAACATCAGCGATGGTTATTTTTAGGACGACTCAGCCTCAAATGAGTACCTGGTGCGGTGTGTAAAAACATCGCCACTGGGGAGACAAAAGCGGCTGGGCGTGGTGCTGGCCACCCACCCCCTCGTGTGCCGTTCTGGCCATCATAGGTGCTCGCTAACAGCACTTGCCCCAAGTCTGTGAAGGCTATACGGGGGATCTTTGCCTTTGTACGTGTGCGTGTGCACACGTGTGTGCGCGAGTGTGGAAAGTTCATCCCGGGGTACATGACGCACAGAGGCGGCAGGAGGCGTTCCTCGCCTCCATCCCCGGTGTCAACAAAGCAGGAAAAAAAACAACTCCCCCCGTTATTTATTTATTTACATCCACAGAGAACAAAAAGGGCAAGTCTCGCGAACCTTCAAGTTTCCTGCGCGGGGGGCGGGGGGATTCCTTGTCCCTGACTCCAAGTGGCTCGCAGCCACAGCGGCCGACGCGTTATCGATCCACGTTGCGACGAGTCTGTCTGCACTCCGCAGGGCACCGCGGTGCAATACCCCGACTGCGTCCGCACGTTGGCCCAACGTCCGCACGTTGGCCCAACGTCCGCACGCTTACTGGGACCGCATTCTCCAGATGATAAGACGCAATGATCTCACCCGTGCAGTATCTTAAAAGGAAACGTGGGTGGGGTGTCTTACAATCTGGTGTGCCTGTGTGTGTGTGTGTTTCTGAGCGATAGTGGAGCGGTTAACGCGCTGCGCTACGAACCCGGCCACCTGAGTTCGATTCCCACTGACGGCCAACACCGGTGACGATTATATGAATCGGTCCTGGGCCTCTTCCCCTAGGTCGACTCAGCCTCAAATGAGTAACTGGTGCGGTGTGTAAACATCGCCACTGGGGAGACAAAGGCGGCCGGACGTGGTGCTGGCCACCCACCCCCTCGTGTGCTGTGCCGGCCTTTATAGGTGCTCGCTAACAGCACTTGCCCCAACAGCCAGGGTGGGTGGGTGAGTGGGTGGATGAGATAGTGGGTCAGTGAGTGAGTCAATGCGTGGCTAA